TTCAACCTGTTCTACCGCTTCACTTTCTGCGTCCGCTTCAACTTGCCCCAATCTCTCACCGAACACTTCGACTGCCGACTCGGCTTCCGTCTCCCCTTCAAATACGCCTTCACCAACTTCACCATATTCCGCCTCCATCTCACCGACACGCTCAACCAATCGTTCCCGTTCCGGTTGTGCTGCAGTCTCTGCAAGCGCCTCAGACTCCAATTCGACTGGAGCGAACACAGACACACGTTCCGATTCAACCTGTTCTACCGCTTCACTTTCTGCGTCCGCTTCAACTTGCCCCAATCTCTCACCGAACACTTCGACTGCCGACTCGGCTTCCGTCTCCCCTTCAAATACGCCTTCACCAACTTCACCATATTCCGCCTCCATCTCACCGACACGCTCAACCAATCGTTCCCGTTCCGGTTGTGCTGCAGTCTCTGCAAGCGCCTCAGACTCCAATTCGACTGGAGCGAACACAGACACACGTTCCGATTCAACCTGTTCTACCGCTTCACTTTCTGCGTCCGCTTCAACTTGCCCCAATCTCTCACCGAACACTTCGACTGCCGACTCGGCTTCCGTCTCCCCTTCAAATACGCCTTCACCAACTTCACCATATTCCGCCTCCATCTCACCGACACGCTCAACCAATCGTTCCCGTTCCGGTTGTGCTGCAGTCTCTGCAAGCGCCTCAGACTCCAATTCGACTGGAGCGAACACAGACACACGTTCCGATTCAACCTGTTCTACCGCTTCACTTTCTGCGTCCGCTTCAACTTGCCCCAATCTCTCACCGAACACTTCGACTGCCGACTCGGCTTCCGTCTCCCCTTCAAATACGCCTTCACCAACTTCACCATATTCCGCCTCCATCTCACCGACACGCTCAACCAATCGTTCCCGTTCCGGTTGTGCTGCAGTCTCTGCAAGCGCCTCAGACTCCAATTCGACTGGAGCGAACACAGACACACGTTCCGATTCAACCTGTTCTACCGCTTCACTTTCTGCGTCCGCTTCAACTTGCCCCAATCTCTCACCGAACACTTCGACTGCCGACTCGGCTTCCGTCTCCCCTTCAAATACGCCTTCACCAACTTCACCATATTCCGCCTCCATCTCACCGACACGCTCAACCAATCGTTCCCGTTCCGGTTGTGCTGCAGTCTCTGCAAGCGCCTCAGACTCCAATTCGACTGGAGCGAACACAGACACACGTTCCGATTCAACCTGTTCTACCGCTTCACTTTCTGCGTCCGCTTCAACTTGCCCCAATCTCTCACCGAACACTTCGACTGCCGACTCGGCTTCCGTCTCCCCTTCAAATACGCCTTCACCAACTTCACCATATTCCGCCTCCATCTCACCGACACGCTCAACCAATCGTTCCCGTTCCGGTTGTGCTGCAGTCTCTGCAAGCGCCTCAGACTCCAATTCGACTGGAGCGAACACAGACACACGTTCCGATTCAACCTGTTCTACCGCTTCACTTTCTGCGTCCGCTTCAACTTGCCCCAATCTCTCACCGAACACTTCGACTGCCGACTCGGCTTCCGTCTCCCCTTCAAATACGCCTTCACCAACTTCACCATATTCCGCCTCCATCTCACCGACACGCTCAACCAATCGTTCCCGTTCCGGTTGTGCTGCAGTCTCTGCAAGCGCCTCAGACTCCAATTCGACTGGAGCGAACACAGACACACGTTCCGATTCAACCTGTTCTACCGCTTCACTTTCTGCGTCCGCTTCAACTTGCCCCAATCTCTCACCGAACACTTCGACTGCCGACTCGGCTTCCGTCTCCCCTTCAAATACGCCTTCACCAACTTCACCATATTCCGCCTCCATCTCACCGACACGCTCAACCAATCGTTCCCGTTCCGGTTGTGCTGCAGTCTCTGCAAGCGCCTCAGACTCCAATTCGACTGGAGCGAACACAGACACACGTTCCGATTCAACCTGTTCTACCGCTTCACTTTCTGCGTCCGCTTCAACTTGCCCCAATCTCTCACCGAACACTTCGACTGCCGACTCGGCTTCCGTCTCCCCTTCAAATACGCCTTCACCAACTTCACCATATTCCGCCTCCATCTCACCGACACGCTCAACCAATCGTTCCCGTTCCGGTTGTGCTGCAGTCTCTGCAAGCGCCTCAGACTCCAATTCGACTGGAGCGAACACAGACACACGTTCCGATTCAACCTGTTCTACCGCTTCACTTTCTGCGTCCGCTTCAACTTGCCCCAATCTCTCACCGAACACTTCGACTGCCGACTCGGCTTCCGTCTCCCCTTCAAATACGCCTTCACCAACTTCACCATATTCCGCCTCCATCTCACCGACACGCTCAACCAATCGTTCCCGTTCCGGTTGTGCTGCAGTCTCTGCAAGCGCCTCAGACTCCAATTCGACTGGAGCGAACACAGACACACGTTCCGATTCAACCTGTTCTACCGCTTCACTTTCTGCGTCCGCTTCAACTTGCCCCAATCTCTCACCGAACACTTCGACTGCCGACTCGGCTTCCGTCTCCCCTTCAAATACGCCTTCACCAACTTCACCATATTCCGCCTCCATCTCACCGACACGCTCAACCAATCGTTCCCGTTCCGGTTGTGCTGCAGTCTCTGCAAGCGCCTCAGACTCCAATTCGACTGGAGCGAACACAGACACACGTTCCGATTCAACCTGTTCTACCGCTTCACTTTCTGCGTCCGCTTCAACTTGCCCCAATCTCTCACCGAACACTTCGACTGCCGACTCGGCTTCCGTCTCCCCTTCAAATACGCCTTCACCAACTTCACCATATTCCGCCTCCATCTCACCGACACGCTCAACCAATCGTTCCCGTTCCGGTTGTGCTGCAGTCTCTGCAAGCGCCTCAGACTCCAATTCGACTGGAGCGAACACAGACACACGTTCCGATTCAACCTGTTCTACCGCTTCACTTTCTGCGTCCGCTTCAACTTGCCCCAATCTCTCACCGAACACTTCGACTGCCGACTCGGCTTCCGTCTCCCCTTCAAATACGCCTTCACCAACTTCACCATATTCCGCCTCCATCTCACCGACACGCTCAACCAATCGTTCCCGTTCCGGTTGTGCTGCAGTCTCTGCAAGCGCCTCAGACTCCAATTCGACTGGAGCGAACACAGACACACGTTCCGATTCAACCTGTTCTACCGCTTCACTTTCTGCGTCCGCTTCAACTTGCCCCAATCTCTCACCGAACACTTCGACTGCCGACTCGGCTTCCGTCTCCCCTTCAAATACGCCTTCACCAACTTCACCATATTCCGCCTCCATCTCACCGACACGCTCAACCAATCGTTCCCGTTCCGGTTGTGCTGCAGTCTCTGCAAGCGCCTCAGACTCCAATTCGACTGGAGCGAACACAGACACACGTTCCGATTCAACCTGTTCTACCGCTTCACTTTCTGCGTCCGCTTCAACTTGCCCCAATCTCTCACCAAAACACTTCGACTGCCGACTCGGCTTCCGTCTCCCCTTCAAATACGCCTTCACCAACTTCACCATCTTCCGCCTCCATCTCACCGACACGCTCAACCAATCGTTCCCGTCCGGTTGTGCTGCAGTCTCTGCAAGCGCCTCAGACTCCAATTCGACTGTGAGCGAACACAGACACACGTTCCGATTCAACCTGTTCTACCGCTTCACTTTCTGCGTCGCTTCAACTTGCCCCAATCTCTCACCAAACACTTCGACTGCCGACTCGGCTTCCGTCTCCCCTTCAAATACGCCTTCACCTACTTCACCATATTCCGCCTCCATCTCACCGACACGCTCAACAAATCGTTCCCGTTCGGTTGTGCTGCAGTCTCTGCAAGCGCCTCAGACTCCAATTCGACTGGAGCGAACACAGACACACGTTCCGATTCAACCTGTTCTACCGCTTCACTTTCTGCGTCCGCTTCAACTTGCCCCAATCTCTCACCGAACACTTCGACTGCCGACTCGGCTCCGTCTCCCCTTCAAATACGCCTTCACCAACTTCACCATATTCCGCCTCCATCTCACCGACACGCTCAACCAATCGTTCCCGTTCCGGTTGTGCTGCAGTCTCTGCAAGCGCCTCAGACTCCAATTCGACTGGAGCGAACACAGACACACGTTCCGATTCAACCTGTTCTACCGCTTCACTTTCTGCGTCCGCTTCAACTTGCCCCAATCTCTCACCGAACACTTCGACTGCCGACTCGGCTTCCGTCTCCCCTTCAAATACGCCTTCACCAACTTCACCATATTCCGCCTCCATCTCACCGACACGCTCAACCAATCGTTCCCGTTCCGGTTGTGCTGCAGTCTCTGCAAGCGCCTCAGACTCCAATTCGACTGGAGCGAACACAGACACACGTTCCGATTCAACCTGTTCTACCGCTTCACTTTCTGCGTCCGCTTCAACTTGCCCCAATCTCTCACCGACACACTTCGACTGCCGACTCGGCTTCCGTCTCCCCTTCAAATACGCCTTCACCAACTTCACCATATTCCGCCTCCATCTCACCGACACGCTCAACCAATCGTTCCCGTTCCGGTTGTGCTGCAGTCTCTGCAAGCGCCTCAGACTCCAATTCGACTGAGCGAACACAGACACACGTTCCGATTCAACCTGTTCTACCGCTTCACTTTCTGCGTCCCGCTTCAACTTGCCCCAATCTCTCACCGAACACTTCGACTGCCGACTCGGCTTCCGTCTCCCCTTCAAATACGCCTTCACCAACCTTCACCATATTCCGCCTCCATCTCACCGACACGCTCAACCAATCGTTCCCGTTCCGGTTGTGCTGCAAGTCTCTGCAAGCGCCTCAGACTCCAATTCGACTGGAGCGAACACAGACACACGTTCCGATTCAACCTGTTCTACCGCTTCACTTTCTGCGTCCGCTTCAACTTGCCCCAATCTCTCACCGAACACTTCGACTGCCGACTCGGCTTCCGTCTCCCCTTCAAATACGCCTTCACCAACTTCACCATATTCCGCCTCCATCTCACCGACATCGCTCAACCAATCGTTCCCGTTCCGGTTGTGCTGCAGTCTCTGCAAGCGCCTCAGACCTCCAATTCGACTGGAGCGAACACAGGACACCGTTCGATTCAACCTGTTCTACCGCTTCACTTTCTGCGTCCGCTTCAACTTGCCCCAATCTCTCACCGAACACTTCGACTGCCGACTCGGCTTCCGTCTCCCCTTCAAATACGCCTTCACCAACTTCACCATATTCCGCCTCCATCTCACCGACACGCTCAACCAATCGTTCCCGTTCCGGTTGTGCTGCAGTCTCTGCAAGCGCCTCAGACTCCAATTCGACTGGAGCGAACACAGACACACGTTCCGATTCAACCTGTTCTACCGCTTCACTTTCTGCGTCCGCTTCAACTTGCCCCAATCTCTCACCGAACACTTCGACTGCCGACTCGGCTTCCGTCTCCCCTTCAAATACGCCTTCACCAACTTCACCATATTCCGCCTCCATCTCACCGACACGCTCAACCAATCGTTCCCGTTCCGGTTGTGCTGCAGTCTCTGCAAGCGCCTCAGACTCCAATTCGACTGGAGCGAACACAGACACACGTTCCGATTCAACCTGTTCTACCGCTTCACTTTCTGCGTCCGCTTCAACTTGCCCCAATCTCTCACCGAACACTTCGACTGCCGACTCGGCTTCCGTCTCCCCTTCAAATACGCCTTCACCAACTTCACCATATTCCGCCTCCATCTCACCGACCACGCTCAACCAATCGTTCCCGTTCCGGTTGTGCTGCAGTCTCTGCAAGCGCCTCAGACTCAATTTCGACTGGAGCGAACACAGACACACGTTCCGATTCAACCTGTTCTACCGCTTCACTTTCTGCGTCCGCTTCAACTGCCCCAATCTCTCACCGAACACTTCGACTGCCGACTCGGCTTCCGTCTCCCCTTCAAATACGCCTTCACCAACTTCACCATATTCCGCCTCCATCTCACCGACACGGCTCAACCACTCGGTCCCGTTCCGGTTGTGCTGCAGTCTCTGCAAGCGCCTCAGACTCCAATTCGACTGGAGCGAACACAGACACACGTTCCGATTCAACCTGTTCTACCGCTTCACTTTCTGCGTCCGCTTCAACTTGCCCCAATCTCTCACCGAACACTTCGACTGCCGACTCGGCTTCCGGCTCCCCTTCAAATACGCCTTCACCAACTTCACCATATTCCGCCTCCATCTCACCGACACGCTCAACCAATCGTTCCCGTTCCGGTTGTGCTGCAGTCTCTGCAAGCGCCTCAGACTCCAATTCGACTGGAGCGAACACAGACACACGTTCCGATTCAACCTGTTCTACCGCTTCACTTCTGCGTCCGCTTCAACTTGCCCCAATCTCTCACCGAACACTTCGACTGCCCTACTCGGCTTCCGTCTCCCCTTCAAATACGCCTTCACCAACTTCACCATATTCCGCCTCCATCTCACCGACACGCTCAACCAATCGTTCCCGTTCCGGTTGTGCTGCAGTCTCTGCAAGCGCCTCAGACTCCAATTCGACTGGAGCGAACACAGACACACGTTCCGATTCAACCTTTCTACCGCTTCACTTTCTGCGTCCGCTTCAACTTGCACCAATCTCCCACGAACACTTCGACTGCCGACTCGGCTTCCGTCTCCCCTTCAAATACGCCTTCACCAACTTCACCATATTCCGCCTCCATCTCACCGACACGCTCAACCAATCGTTCCCGTTCCGGTTGTGCTGCAGTCTCTGCAAGCGCCTCAGACTCCAATTCGACTGGAGCGAACACAGACACACGTTCCGATTCAACCTGTTCTACCGCTTCACTTTCTGCGTCCGCTTCAACTTGCCCCAATCTCTCACCGAACACTTCGACTGCCGACTCGGCTTCCGTCTCCCCTTCAAATACGCCTTCACCAACTTCACCATATTCCGCCTCCATCTCACCGACACGCTCAACCAATCGTTCCCGTTCCGGTTGTGCTGCAGTCTCTGCAAGCGCCTCAGACTCCAATTCGACTGGAGCGAACACAGACACACGTTCCGATTCAACCTGTTCTACCGCTTCACTTTCTGCGTCCGCTTCAACTTGCCCCAATCTCTCACCGAACACTTCGACTGCCGACTCGGCTTCCGTCTCCCCTTCATATACGCCTTCACCAACTTCACCATATTCCGCCTCCATCTCACCGACACGGCTCAACCAATCGTTCCCGTTCCGGTTGTGCTGCAGTCTCTGCAAGCGCCTCAGACTCCAATTCGACTGGAGCGAACACAGACACACGTTCCGATTCAACCTGTTCTACCGCTTCACTTTCTGCGTCCGCTTCAACTTGCCCCAATCTCTCACCGAACACTTCGACTGCCGACTCGGCTTCCGTCTCCCCTTCAAATACGCCTTCACCAACTTCACCATATTCCGCCTCCATCTCACCGACACGCTCAACCAATCGTTCCCGTTCCGGTTGTGCTGCAGTCTCTGCAAGCGCCTCAGACTCCAATTCGACTGGAGCGAACACAGACACACGTTCCGATTCAACCTGTTCTACCGCTTCACTTTCTGCGTCCGCTTCAACTTGCCCCAATCTCTCACCGAACACTTCGACTGCCGACTCGGCTTCCGTCTCCCCTTCAATATACGCCTTCACCAACTTCACCATATTCCGCTCCATCTCACCGACACGCTCACCAATCGTTCCCGTTCCGGTTGTGCTGCAGTCTCTGCAAGCGCCTCAGACTCCAATTCGACTGGAGCGAACACAGACACACGTTCCGATTCAACCTGTTCTACCGCTTCACTTTCTGCGTCCGCTTCAACTTGCCCCAATCTCTCACCGAACACTTCGACTGCCGACTCGGCTTCCTCTCCCCTTCAAATACGCCTTCACCAACTTCACCATATTCCGCCTCCATCTCACCGACACGCTCAACCAATCGTTCCCGTTCCGGTTGTGCTGCAGTCTCTGCAAGCGCCTCAGACTCCAATTCGACTGGAGCGAACACAGACACACGTTCCGATTCAACCTGTTCTACCGCTTCACTTTCTGCGTCCGCTTCAACTTGCCCCAATCTCTCACCGAACACTTCGACTGCCGACTCGGCTTCCGTCTCCCCTTCAAATACGCCTTCACCAACTTCACCATATTCCGCCTCCATCTCACCGACACGCTCAACCAATCGTTCCCGTTCCGGTTGTGCTGCAGTCTCTGCAAGCGCCTCAGACTCCAATTCGACTGGAGCGAACACAGACACACGTTCCGATTCAACCTGTTCTACCGCTTCACTTTCTGCGTCCGCTTCAACTTGCCCCAATCTCTCACCGAACACTTCGACTGCCGACTCGGCTTCCGTCTCCCCTTCAAATACGCCTTCACCAACTTCACCATATTCCGCCTCCATCTCACCGACACGCTCAACCAATCGTTCCCGTTCCGGTTGTGCTGCAGTCTCTGCAAGCGCTCAGACTCCAATTCGACTGGAGCGAACACAGACACACGTTCCGATTCAACCTGTTCTACCGCTTCACTTTCTGCGTCCGCTTCAACTTGCCCCAATCTCTCACCGAACACTTCGACTGCCGACTCGGCTTCCGTCTCCCCTTCAAATACGCCTTCACCAACTTCACCATATCCGCCTCCATCTCACCGACACGCTCAACCAATCGTTCCGTTCCGGTTGTGCTGCAGTCTCTGCAAGCGCCTCAGACTCCAATTCGACTGGAGCGAACACAGACACACGTTCCGATTCAACCTGTTCTACCGCTTCACTTTCTGCGTCCGCTTCAACTTGCCCCAATCTCTCACCGAACACTTCGACTGCCGACTCGGCTTCCGTCTCCCCTTCAAATACGCCTTCACCAACTTCACCATATTCCGCCTCCATCTCACCGACACGCTCAACCAATCGTTCCCGTTCCGGTTGTGCTGCAGTCTCTGCAAGCGCCTCAGACTCCAATTCGACTGGAGCGAACACAGACACACGTTCCGATTCAACCTGTTCTACCGCTTCACTTTCTGCGTCCGCTTCAACTTGCCCCAATCTCTCACCGAACACTTCGACTGCCGACTCGGCTTCCGTCTCCCCTTCAAATACGCCTTCACCAACTTCACCATATTCCGCCTCCATCTCACCGACACGCTCAACCAATCGTTCCCGTTCCGGTTGTGCTGCAGTCTCTGCAAGCGCCTCAGACTCCAATTCGACTGGAGCGAACACAGACACACGTTCCGATTCAACCTGTTCTACCGCTTCACTTTCTGCGTCCGCTTCAACTTGCCCCAATCTCTCACCGAACACTTCGACTGCCGACTCGGCTTCCGTCTCCCCTTCAAATACGCCTTCACCAACTTCACCATATTCCGCCTCCATCTCACCGACACGCTCAACCAATCGTTCCCGTTCCGGTTGTGCTGCAGTCTCTGCAAGCGCCTCAGACTCCAATTCGACTGGAGCGAACACAGACACACGTTCCGATTCAACCTGTTCTACCGCTTCACTTTCTGCGTCCGCTTCAACTTGCCCCAATCTCTCACCGAACACTTCGACTGCCGACTCGGCTTCCGTCTCCCCTTCAAATACGCCTTCACCAACTTCACCACCTTCCGCTTCGATCACACCTTCACCTGTTATATAGTTTGCTGTTTTGTCTTTTTCTTCGTCTTTTTGTATTTGATATTTTTTTATTTGTGTTCCCTGATTCAGTTCATATGTTTTTGGTTGTTGATTATCATGTATTTTTTTGTTTTCTTTTTCATCATTCAGACTTTTTATGTGTGTCATTTGTTTTATTTTACTTTCTTGCATCGCTCTTTCTTTTATTTTTGTTATTACTCCTATTTCGCTTTGTATTTGGTTTTCATCAAGCATATTTCTGTTGTACTTCGTTTCTTTGTATATTGATTTTTTGATTGCGCCGCCGTCAATTTCTTCTAGGTCCTTTGAATTTGTTTTAATGGCTGCTATTTTTCGTTCCGTTTCGTTTGTATTTTCTTCTATTTTTGCTTCGCCCATTGTGTAATCTTCCTGTTCTAGTGTTGCGTGTTGTAATTGTCTATTTTTCCTTGTTTCTGTAAGTTCTGTTTCTTCTGCTGAAATTATGTATTCTTTCTTGAATACGTGTGTTGATTTTCCATCATGCCCGGATTGTGTAACTTGTATTTCATTTTCAGTTAGTATATCTTTGATATCGTTGGTTTTTCTACCAGTCTCTGAAATAGTTATTTGCTCTTTCCGTTTATTGTCTGTTGAATTTGGTAAAATAGACCCTGGTTTACTTAAGTCAGGTTGATTTACGTCCTGACTTTCCTCATTATTCTGTTCTTCTTGAAGTTTTTGGTCTTTGTTTATAGTACGTGGTTCGCATTAAGATTTTGTTGAATGAAAATTAGATTTGTTGATAGATTTTTTTCAAGGAAAAGAAAAAAAAACAAAAAAGTAACAGAAACCAGATGCAACGCAAAAACTTTAAACAAAGGCATAACATAACCATCACGCAATTCAGGTATATATCATTTCTGAAGAAGCAAGCAGAAAAACTAAGTAAACATTTAATCATGTAAACTAAGGATAAAATGCTCAATATTACAATCTGACTATCTAGGTAGTTTTTGGGGAGATATGCATCTGATTGAGTGTGCTTTTCAACTTGTTCATAATCATAAACTACCAAGCAACATGCACATACAAGCGTAAATTTTATTTCACATGGGCTACATTCTAGCCAATTGCACACTGTGATAATATGATCGTCTTTATATCAACTATATGAAGTGATTATAAAAACTTATTAGTTTTATATTAATATTACCTACCTTCCGTTTAGTTTGAAATATTTGATAAACTGATCCGTCAATATTTTGCCTAAAAGACCTATATTCTATTCACTAGCTAACATGAATATTATAAAATTGTGTTCAGTGTTCACATAGAATAAAGATTCTAATATTATCTATTTTGTTTTTTGATAGATACCATGACACAGCCATAATAAGAATATGGGATTTTAGAACTATTCTTCATTAATACAGCCTCATAGATTGTTGAGATTAAGTCCATTTATTTTTTCTAGATTTTAATAACTCTTTTACACTTAAAACGAGAAATTGTACTTTTTACAGTTAAACAATTTCACTTCTAAAAATGTTACCATGATAGAAAAATTGGTCTTCTGTAATTGAAACTTCAGGTATCGTTGAATCTGTTTCTACAAACAATTCTTCATTCACACCAGATGATACGGACTGCTCTTCTGAAATTGAACGTTCAAAAACTCTATCAACCACTTTTTTTGTTGTTATTAAGCGAGTTATTATAGTTCCATCAGCTAGTGTTTCGTCAACTTGTTCCACCTAAAATAAGAAAATGGTGTTAGATTAACATAGAACTATGTTATTCTGAGAAGCTAAAAATCAAAGTGTCCTTCAAGTTAATCTAAACAGCTAAAAAATTTAGGTTTGTTTGCACAACCTTACCCGGTTCTGATATAGCGGATGAATACAAAGGTTTTCTTGTTTCCACGAAATACTAGTATAATACGATTATACGGTCGGTAACTGAGACTGGATACTGAATACTCGATTGATACGATGTACTCAGACTGTATCGCGTTATGCCAGATACCCCATTCACTAATGATAATTTGGAACTAGAGTATGTGCTATATAATATTTTATTACGCGCAATTACAAACAGTCACAACCACTAGAAGCCTCCACAGTACTAGGCTTCATCATACACAAGAGGAAAAACAAGGTCCTCAAATACAACACGGAGAACACAAACCCAATCACACTTGATGGAGAAACGGTCGAAGTGGTAGAAACATCAACTTATCTATTCGGGAGGCATCATCTATGAACGAGGAGGATCTGATGCAAACGTAAAGGCACAGATTAGCAAAGCAGGGGCCGCATCCTTAGAGTTCAAGAACATATAGAACTAAAAACAACTGTAAACCAACATCAAAGTCACAATCCTCAATACGAACGACAAGAGAGTTCTAATATACAGAGCTGAAAATGGGAGAACTACCACAACCATCACCTAAAGGGTGCAAGCATTTATAAACAATTGTCTACTTAAGATACTAAATGTTTGTTGACCGGATACTATCAGCAACAGCCTACTATGGGGGAGAACAAACCCACTTCCAGCTAAAGAGGAGATAAGGGAAAGACGTTGGATGTGGACAGGATATACATTGTGGAAATCATCAAACTGCATCACGAGACAAGCGTTAATTTGGAATCGTGAAGGGGGACGGAAAATAGGAAGGCTGAAGAACACACTCTGTCGGGAATTGGAAGCAAACATGGAAATGGTCAATAGCAACTGTGAACAACTGGAAAGGTTGGGCCAGGACAGAGTTGGATAGAGAATGCTGGTGAGTGGCCTATGCCCCTCCATGAAGGGTAACAGAAGTAACTCAGGTAAGTAACAACCACTGGGTCTAGAGTAGAAATCAATAATAAAACGGAAACCGCATATTGAATAGTTGATGTTTGTCAGTGCAAGCTCAATTGTCAGTTATTGAATGTGTTATATTCAGCCCTTGCAGATATCTTTTTTGTTTATTAATTAGGAGGATGCTACATATGATAGTTCAGTTTCCGTTAAAGGCCTGATTTCAAACCCTAAATTTTCTTGATGTGTTTCTTATCCGTTATGTTAGATCGTTTAATATTAGATGTGTACACGTCAGAAAGTTGTGAATAAGTTCAGTAACCTAAAATGAAATATCTAATAGACATTGCACTCAAATAAACAGAATTTACACACTACATGAAAAGAAAAAAAAGTTAAAAGAGCTGAACATAACACTCTTACTGAACGGTGAAAGACGGTGTGAACAACCTGAATCTATTATAACTTCTTATTTAATGTAATGTAACTATCTAGTCAAGCGAGTTGTGACGACTTTTTAAAGTTTGAGGTTGTTCACATGATACCATAACATAAGGTGGAGAACTTTTTCGATCAGATATATATTCAAGAACTCGTTGAAACTCAGAAAAGTTATTATTAAGGACCTGTGAACCACTTAACAAATAAAATGGAAGTTAATCCTGTTAACTTACTTCTGTGATTTCTTCTGGTTTTTCAACCAAATAACCTCCAGACTCAATTGCTGCCTGTACACCCAATTTCCATTCATCCGGAGTAACTGAGAGAGTGGTTTCTTCAGATTCTGTGCGTTTTGTGACAACCGTACCGTCAGGTAGAACTTCCTCAACTTCTTCGATTTTACGCGATTCTTTCGGCATTGATTGGATTACTTCGGTACTGACCGAATCTGAATGAGACTTATATGGTGATGGAATCTGAGGTTCGTTTACGGTGGGAGGTATTTTAATATCAGATTTCATTTTTAAGACTTCAGGTTCTGTGATTTTGCAAGTTTGAACTCTGTCGATTTGTTGAATATTGTTCGTTAGTACTGCTCTCTGATAAGCATTTTCGAATGATTCTTCATCCTGCAAGTTTTCTAACCACGGAACAGGGAATTCTTCATTCACTTCTTGTGGAGATATGCTGCTGTCTTCTAAAATATTGAAACGTTCCATAAGGCATGTGCTATTATTAAATTTAGGCAAACATGTTTACAATTTGTTCTGTATTCATCTTATAAAGATTTTAATGATTTGTGCACTCACGATAAAGAAATAATGATAACTAGTTATTAACTTGGGCTTGAAAGTCGTTACTAATTGTTACTATTAGCTTATTGAAAAAGCATTGAACTTTGTAAAACTATATTGGTGTACATGCTTCTCTTTGTTATGAAGGCAAAACGGATATTCATTTAAAGTGGTTGATTTAGTGGTTCAAAAGTTTTACTCGGTAAAAAAATAAATCCCCATATCAAATGAAAAAGTCACATATACAGAACTATTAAACTACTTCTGATGTATACATATACCTAAAAAATCAGCAAAAAAATACAGTAATTTTAAATCTGAATGATAATCAACAAATGAACTTAAAATCTATGATGCACTGGATATCTAGTGCTACGTGTTTTGGGATTCTTCATCAGTTCACACTAAAACCTTGTATTGGGTTAGATGCAAGACGTAAAGTGGTAAGCACGATTTCTTAAAGAACTGCTTAAGAATTTTTCACAATTTCCCCTTCAAATATATTGTGTCATTTTATGAGGTGTACATTTGAAGTGAACAATGATTCTATCGATCAACAAGCAAACTTCCCAACAGAATTATGAATGAATCGAAGATTTCTACAAGTAGAATATCCTTGCATGATGGCATACTGTATCTCAGTCAACTTTGTACTTGACCTAATATACTTTTGACGTTGAACTTTGATAGTGTTTAGACATATAAACAAATAAATGAAATCTTGCCAGATTTAATGATGATTAATTCTAATTTTCTGAAGAAATAAGTCAACAAAATGTGATGGACGACTATTGGAAGTACTTTCTACTTAATTGTTTTGGTGATGTTTATTTAATTTCAGGTATTATGTTCGTCCATCAGACTGCTAAACATCTGAACATGATAAATTAATAAAAGTTTGTCAAATTTAAGTGGTTGGATGTTTATTATTTTCACCTTCATTGCAAATTGAATCATATCTTGTGGTTATTCAATGTTATAGCTATCAATGTCATAGTTATCAGTGTTACAGCTTATGATGGCGACTACTAATTAACCTAATATTTTGTGCCTTTTAGGAAAGTATTTAGTCTCATCTCAGTATGTTTAATGTATCAAAATAATGTCTTACTTGGAAGTTCGTCCGCTGATGAAGTTGTAATTTAGACAGCTATATACAATTTGATTTCATATTAAAAATCAAGCTCTACACTCACTTTTATTCAAAGTATGTGTACTAAATTATTTAAATATACGATCGGGTAATTCATATTCACTATGATAAACATAGGTAATATCAGCTTTTAACTCTTAAATTATAACCACTACAGAATGTAGTCAATATATCATTATTAATCATGCATTATATTCTTCAGAAAGAGAAACTGTTGTAAATTAGATGTAAGAGGCGACTATACATTAACATATATGTGGGGTGTGATCACAAATACTAGGGAAAACCCAAATATTTACCTTCCATTGCTATTGTAGATGACATTATAGATGATTGTTTAGTTGAGACTCGTTTTTTAAGTGCTTCATCTGTTTCTTGGACTCTACTAACTTTGATGACCTCCTCAGTTGACATGTCTTCTTCAGTAGGAAAGATTTGTGGAATAATGAACTCAGTACTCAGTGTATCTATAGATTCGGATATTCCACTTTTATTTGTACTATGAACAGGAGGGGATTGAGAAGGTGTTACCGTCGATATGGTTCTAACTCTTTGAGAATCCTTCAAAAGTGAGATTGTCTGTTCCTCACGATCAAATGTTCTAGGTTCAATTATATCTTCCATTATTTCTCCACGATCAGTTGGCAGTAGTTGTTCAACTAAGTTAAATCAAGCAAAACAGTTTCAGATTTTTGATAAGGAAATGTAGTCGTAAATAATTCTATAATGATGATATAGAATATTAGATTCTTTGTTATTCATTTTCATCACCATTTAATGTATTAAAATCATGCTTGCTTTTGTGCTGACCATTTACAGTTTATAACGAATCTTTCTGTTTACTAGTTCATGAAAAAACCATTCTATTAGTGAGTAACGTTGTACCGAGTACTGTATACTAAAATTAACTCTTTAGTAGCAAGGTTACTATTGTTTTGAATTTAGATAATTAATTGTAGCTTATTGATTCAAACACTTTTTTGCTACTCATCTAATGCTTTGTGGTCGGGCGAGTATTATTTGTGATTCATGTACACTAAGTGAAAAGGACATAGCTAACAAAGGGACATACAGTTTGTTGCATATTCAAATTACTTTAGGCAGCTAATCTGTACCGAGACTTTGTGCTTTGAATAGCGGAAACCAGGTGTGCCTAAGTGAGTGATAATTTCAAAAAATTTCTACTTATAATAGATAAATACAATCTGATTAATAGTTAACTTGAAGATTTTTAGGCTAATACAAAGAGGCAGAAAGTGGTGCAGAGTCATTTTATGAGAATGCATTGAATCATTTATAAAAGACAGTTTGAACTGGAGTGTAATAAGATTTGATGTAAAACTATTGTTAATTGAATGAATCTTTTCACAGTATCTTGGGATGGTGCTATCGTTTTGTGCTTTCTTAATATATACGGAAAATTATAAAATGTTCTTATTTATCAGTGAATTTTAGAATAATTCTGCTCATTGCTGATGAAAAGCTGAATTCAATAAATCATAACTAATGAGAGCTAATTAGTGGTGAGACACTAGGCCAAGTCAATGGACGGAAAAATAATTAAAAAAGCTGTTTGCGATTTTCACTTTTAGCAAATGTTTCAGTTCACCATTATTCAGAAATCAGATTAGTATACAGATTAATGGGAAGAAAAAAGCTCCTTTGCCTAGTAGGGAAGAATCATGAATCACACTGGCATACTTTTAATAAGAATAATAAAACGCTACTATAATAGTTTTGTTTACCTAAAGCGGTGTCGACGAATTGTGGTCCAATGGCATCTAATAATTCTTGTACGACATATTTTATCTGTTTTCTGTCAGTTGAAGTAGATTTATGTTCAACATATTGAGATATTGGTTTCATGAAAACTTCTGTTATTTGACTATCTGATTCTTCGATTTGCTTGTCTGCTAATTGACTGAACTTTGTTGGTAAATCTAAACGAACGCCAACTGATTCCAAATGTGTTAGCAAAGCTTCTTGCCAGTGAACATGTGGTTTTTCTTCAGTGACGTCGTCATAGTGACTTAACACTAATATCTGATCTGATGCATTTTCAACCGAAGTAAACATGGTTGGAACAGTATGAACATCAACAGGAAGTTTTTCTTGGTCTGTAACATCAGCCTGAGAAACAGACTGTAAAACTGTTGCTGATTCATCGAAATACAAATAAAATACACGAATAGAATGAGTTATTTTATTCACAGTCAAAGTTTGTAAAATTTGAAATCTTTTTACTAAAAAAAAAGAGAGCAGTGCAACAATAAAGTTCTGATGGGTGGATTGTGTCAGTAATGTTCACGTTTAACAATCATCCTTTGTAGATGTGGAGCTATTAAACGACTGTTGATAAAATGTTTTGGTAGAAGATGAAATAAGTGCAAAACATAGTAATATATTTTACACAAAGTACTGTTAGACTGCTATTAAACAATCCTTGAGGATCCTAATGACTTAAAATATACTATTTTAACTAATTTGATAATACAAACATTTAAGACTATTAGACTACCTGCCGGTGTATTTATTAAACTCAGTAAAAACCACCTCACTACTAGGATCCTAAGATTTGAAAGTTTAAGAAGTAAGGAGAGATCTATTAACCCTGGAACCAAATTTTACTTTAATCAATGTTGAGTTTTCTTTGAAAAATGAGTTTTTTGTATACTCTAGTGTTACGTTTCTTAAAGTAGAGACACGTTCAATAAGTCTAGTAACAAAGTTTGTCAAAACGTCCCCCAAAATACTTTCAAAGCATTATAAATTAGTTTTCATTCGTATTTTACTTAACATTAGTTTGTCGTGCATCAATATTTTGGGGTTTATTTTTCACTGATCAAACTTTTATTTATATGGATATTAAAAGGTTCTTAGTCATATATGTTACGGGGCATGTGTTTAGTTGAGTTTATATATAAAATAAGGAATCTACATGGTGACAAGACATAAGCATTCACTAGTAATGGTAGTGAAAAGTTAGTAATTTACATCAACATCTGTAATCATTTCAGCTGCTGTAAGTTCATCAATGCATTTGTGTTGAATGAGTATTTTAACCATTCAGTCTGCGTTCCAAGTAGGAAGTGAGTTTAGGGATTTTTGACTAATGATTTTAATGGGTATTACTTTTTAGTTTATCACCTTAACTAAGTAAACGATCAAAGCTATTTCAGAAGAAATCTCCTCTTAAAAACACCACTTGAACGGAAAATAAATTAATTTAAACGATGCCCGATTAAAGTCAAATTTAGTGTTTTAACCTGTGTATTGCTTGGCCAATGAAACACACATTCTGTTCTTCCTAAGATGAACTTCTGACACATTTGAGTAACTTTTAGCATAGTATTCAATCCTTAGCATGTATACCACATCATGCTATATAGTGAAACTAAGTATTTCATGAAGTGGAAATAATTTGCATGAAATTTGGTTTTACCTTCTGGTTTACGAAGATCATCTGTTTCGCCAGAAGCCGAAATGGTCGAAACACCTTCATCTGACGAAAGAAATGCATTTTCAGACCAAGAAAACACTGTATCTGTTTCTTGTTTTCTCTTTTCTTCCATTTTCTGATATTTCATGTCTGTTTGAAAAAGAAGTGTTGTACAATTATCAAACAAAATTTTAACTATCTGCTAACTTTCAAATGTTTGTTTTTCAATGATTAAAAATAGGCGAAAGGTACGCATCTTATATGAATAAAGTTTGGAAGCCTATCTGTGCACTGAAAATATGTAGAGGGAATAATAGAGAGAGTAAATCACAGTTTGTATGCTAGATAGTTTAAATTATGTAACCAACTGCCATTTTAAAATAAAATACAAATCAAAAAGGTCTGATAAGTTGAGTTTTTAAAAGAATGTATGTTGCACTACAGTACGTGATAAAATTACTTGTTTGACTAACAAGTAGGTACTTAAAATAATATTGATGACGTCGCAAGTGATCTTCTGTGTCATGTTCAAAGTACTATTATTTTAAACAACTACGCATTCATACTTTTTAGATTCGTTTCCTTGCTATCCGTTTACCAAAAGCTTTCAAAAAAAATTTATTACGCCTTACAATTTATTCGAGTATTTAAAGTTAACTTTGATATTTTATACTTTTGAGCACCTATAACTAATTCAGAACTTGTGAGCTTATTTACTCCAAGTTTTCATATTCAGTTGTACCTACCATTGACATTTAAGCCAATTTGATGTATGGCGATAGTTCACAGGCGAACTGATGTTTCTTAGATTGCTTTTCAAGCTGATCAATTAGATAATCACTGCATTATTCAGTAGTTTACTTATTGAAATAAAAGCGATGGTTCCTGACTATATTCTACGATTTTTCTATTAAAAACGTTCTAAACAAAGCTAATGGTATAAACACAGCTAACGAAGTGGACATGGTGTGTTTAATAGATGAGGAATTCACGACGATTAGTTCAATTCTGTGAGTCAATAAAAAATAGAGTTAATTATACATATCCATCTTTAACAAAGCTGCCTAATCTCACCGTTTCTCTTTCTCTTGGTAGTTGATTGGATTATGAAGACCTTGATATTTGAGGGGAAGCACAGAATATAATGGAAAGGTTTTATGCAACTAGACGATTTGAACTTTGCAGATGACCTGGATCTTTTATTCCATACACAGTAACAAATGCAGATGACGACAGCCAGTGTAGCAGATGCTTCTGCATCAGTAGGCTTCATCATACACAAGAGGAAAAACAAGGTCCTCAAATACAACACGGAGAACACAAACCCAATCACACTTGATGGAGAAACGGTCGAAGTGGTAGAAACATCAACTTATCTATTCGGGAGGCATCATCTATGAACGAGGAGGATCTGATGCAAACGTAAAGGCACAGATTAGCAAAGCAGGGGCCGCATCCTTAGAGTTCAAGAACATATAGAACTAAAAACAACTGTAAACCAACATCAAAGTCACAATCCTCAATACGAACGACAAGAGAGTTCTAATATACAGAGCTGAAAATGGGAGAACTACCACAACCATCACCTAAAGGGTGCAAGCATTTATAAACAATTGTCTACTTAAGATACTAAATGTTTGTTGACCGGATACTATCAGCAACAGCCTACTATGGGGGAGAACAAACCCACTTCCAGCTAAAGAGGAGATAAGGGAAAGACGTTGGATGTGGACAGGATATACATTGTGGAAATCATCAAACTGCATCACGAGACAAGCGTTAATTTGGAATCGTGAAGGGGGACGGAAAATAGGAAGGCTGAAGAACACACTCTGTCGGGAATTGGAAGCAAACATGGAAATGGTCAATAGCAACTGTGAACAACTGGAAAGGTTGGGCCAGGACAGAGTTGGATAGAGAATGCTGGTGAGTGGCCTATGCCCCTCCATGAACTGTAACAGGCGTAAATATGTAAGTAAGTAATCTTTGACTAGTAATTATTTAAATTCAGTAGCTTAACCAAAGTTAACCCAAATGTCGAATGGTCAGTAACGAAAAAAATTGAGAATTTTGCCCAAAACACAATTTGTTCAAAATACACCTACACGATGATAGGAATTTCTCAAGACAAAAAGTGTGAAAAGAGAACAAGAAGAATAAATAAAGTGTAAATGTTATGACAAAATTTGAATCCAGTTATGAATTTCTCTGAGGAATAACAAAACAAATGAGAACACATTCACCTAATGAGCTACATAAAACATTGCTATCATATAACAAGGAAAACAGCGAATATCTCAGTAATCCGGCATTTAAAATTATTCCATTTTGTATAATTTTATTACTGCACCTCTGAAAGTCTGATATCGTCCTACATATTTAAAGCTTATTTCTAACTAATTTGGCCATACTGAAAAGAGATAGGTAAGCCTTACTATAAATGAGGGCATTGTGGTAAGTAAAGGCATGTTCATATAATCACTTATAATTTAAATATTTGAAATCATGAGTCAATTGAAGCTAGACCATCATGGAAAACCTGGAAGCACTGGACGGCCGTTTCGTCCTAGTATGGGACTCCTCAGTAGTGCTCACCCACGATCCCGCACCCCGCAAGATTTGAACCCATGGCTTACCAGTCTCGCGCGCGAGCGCATGACCATCAGATAACTGAGCCGGCGTCCGACGGTTTTAATGTTTAACTTCAACCAATCCACGAAATTGCTTCCGCGTTTCCCATGGTGGTCTAGCTTCAATCGACTATTGAAATTTCTAAAATCTCCACAAAATCCCTTACTTATAATTTAAACAAAACACATACAAGCCGACTATGAATTATGAAATCTTTACAAACCTACTGAACCTAATTATACTGATTAAGAAAAAATAAAATTATCCGATTACCAACGACAACGTTACAAGAAATATTAGATGATTTTGCCATGAAATACATGAGGCTATATTAACTAATTCTTTCTTTTAAAAAATGAAAGTCCGTACAAACAGCAAGTAGTCAAGCAACAGTGTCAACATTTTTACTCTAATCTACACACGCTTGTCATTTTTCGTTATATTTTATAACTTGCTTAGTTATTAAATATCAATATTGATGAAAAAGAGAACGAATTTTTTTCGTTGGGTACTTTGTAAAAACACTACAGTGATGTTTAGAAACAGATTGTATGTGATTTTTTACTAGTGAAAATAATCATTCTAAGGCCAAACAAATCATTATTTTCTTTTCGGTTACTTTGAGGGTAATTTTAGCCAGCACGTCAATGAATTAGTTTGTAACTAGTATCAAATAGTTGCAATAAAGTTAATTCAGACGTAGGTAACAGTGTCACAGTTCTAGTAACATTCAAAGATTTTTTTCCGAATTGAGTCTTCGTTTTACGTATTACTGTATTAATGATAGAATGCAGCTTCAAACGCTTTATCATAAGACCTAGAACTATGAAATTAACAGTAATAACAATGGTCTTTCAAAAAATTTCAAAAAGCATCTAACCTAAAGAACTATTTATTGCTTCACGTCTCGGATATGTCAGTACTTCGTTTAATGTTACTTGTGGTAAAATTTCTTTAGCAACCAATGGCAGGATAGGTCGTCCCTCGAAGACGTCAGTTTCAGTTCTTCTTTCTTCTTTCGTCGTTATTGAGTGTAAGTCAGTCATGACTGGAGGAATAGCGTCAAACTGATTTATTTTAGTGAGCGCGTCAGCCAGACGATTATCTAGGTGTATGATAATGACAAAAATAAAAAATAAAAATGTAATAATAATAAACTAAATTTATTCCTCAAAGCAGAAATTAACCGCGTTAATGAACGAAAATGAAATTAAGCCAACATCTTAAAATCAATCCCAAAAAGGTGATTTTAGATATAATAATAATTTTCTAAGAACTGACTTCATGCTAATTATGTTTCAATATCGTTTCAGTTACTAAGTGTTGTCGCCAACATTTATGTGAAGGTGACAAGAGAGGTTTTCCTATACGCATAAAAACGTGGCTGAAATTGATAATGTGTGAATCTTAATAATCATTGTTTTGAGCAGCTAGGATGACTGGCTTAAAGCACTTTATTTTGTTAGAAACGTGGTAACTGAAGATGATATAGAATCACGGTAACTATAAGGTCAGTTACCAAACTCGTTGATCAATTGATCAAGCTAAAAGACCTAATGGCTGACCATTTCTTAGTTTCATACACCATAACGTGATACAACTTGAGCAGTTATAAGAAATAAAATACAGTAATGAGGTTTCTCTGGTCAACGACAAATTATCTGCCAGAAGCCCTGGGCTGTCTGCATTTTACGTTACCAATCATGTTTCGTTATTTTGACGTTTTTGTAGTAACTAGTAATAATAAGTACCGAATTATGTGTACCTGAAAAAACTATCAACATTATGAACACTGGCGGAATCAATAGACGAGAGTTCGTTCGGCTGAAATGAAATACAAAGCTTCACAGTTGTTTATGAATTATAGCTGTGGAAATTTCAGGCTACTCGCTAACCACTGAGAACGCAGACATGTCAGGGATCTTCAAATAAAAAGTAATGAAATTCAGCGTACATGACGTTTCTAAATTTATTATTAACTTTAGAATCTCATAACAGGATTTCTGATCCATAAATAAAGGAATTTTTAGACAAACAAGTCTCCAGTTTTCTAAACTTCAACTTACAGCTTCCATGTCTTTTGTTCAGACGTCCTGATAAGCAAAATACAGTTTTTAGAAGATGAAATTCTAGAGACTAAACATGTAAATTTGTGCACTTGTACACCACAAAGGTGTCTTGTCCAGTACTTCTCTAAGAACATGATTTCACTGAGCTCTTACTTTGAACGATCAGAATGGTAACAAACCATCATTATTCTAGGTGACTAACATTTTATACCAAAAAAAGAAACCAGTTCAAGACTCTTGGCACTCAAGTACTATCATTCCTATTTACCTCATACAACAGGCTACTTTTTATGATTTAATGGCACTAGAAGTAATGTATGAAATTATCCGCAAATTTAATCATTAAGTCACCAACAGCTTGTGCTACTTCCTAAATTCTCGGCTGAGAATTAATATCGTTTTCTGAAATCTGATTTAGGAATGTGCTTCAAGCAAATTTGTGTGCCTTTACCCTGACATTCAGCTGCTGTAATGTCTTACCCGAACAAAAACTAGAAAACAAGTCAATGATAGAATTAGATTCAATAGAGCCTAGTCATACAACAGATTTCAATGGCACAAGAATCTACCGAAAATGTTTTAGTTCAGAAAAAGAGATTAACAGCTAAAGCCCTACACAAACAATATTAATAAGGGAGATGGAGTACGATTAACCTTCCCATGGCAACTAATAATTAATAAGTAAGCCTTAACTTCTTATTGCATTTTGTTCAATCCATTTCTTATTATGTGAACAACAACAATCACTTTTACTTGTTGTAAACAGCTGGTTGGCCTAAATATACGATGAACAATCAGCTTGGTCAACACAATAATGCAACACATCTATTTGTTTACTTATCTTTATTTTATAAATGATGCAACATGTTCGATTCATGTCATTAATCAAATCATTTGATTTTATCAAAAATCCCTCAGTGAAGGCAATACATAGTTAATGAATTTCGCTCTCATTAGGTATACGTACCACACACGACTGTCATCTTAACACAAGACAAGTTTTTCAGATTTTATTGTTGATATATGAAAGATACGTTCATCCTTTATAAAGACATTATAGAACAACTAGAGGTTTCAAGGCAATCTAATAAGTGCGTCATGCAACTAAGCTTACAAACGGAGAGGCAAGTGAAGGCAGAATAGCATTTTGGATATCCTACTGACGAAAAGAGCTGATAGATCTAAGTGATAAACGTACTTGGACACAACAATGTACACGTTTCCCTAACTTCCTACTACTGAAGTGCAAAAGAAACTCAATGACCATATGCTCAACTGATAAGGCTGAAGAGAAGCTGAAGGCCTCGTGCAATATTTTTAGAGGAAGTGGATATGATGGAATGTGCATGAACAAATATATGATCACAGAAATGATAAATACCCTAAATATAGGAGTGGGATCGTTATCTATGTGCTTGAAATTCAGAGGCGTTGTACACAGTGAAATAATGTTGAGGAGACTTATCACAACAGTTCAAAGGACGATCAATGCAGGAAAGCTACGAATAATGTATAATGGTGACTCCGAGAGTAAAAGACTAATTATCTTGATTAGTCACCTTCGTTTTCAGTTCAGTTAATCATGTGGAACAAGTTACGTTGGCTGAATTTCTAGGAACTTACAGTTTCGGGATCGTAAACACTTTCCACACTGGCTAAGCACAAGCGTAATCAATACAATGAATAGCTCAGTAATGTCTCATTTAGTTTAAATGGGTCATAATGTCAACATAAATCAACCATTTTGGCAGTTTATCGCATTGGCAATTGTATGCCAAAAACGTCAAACAAAGTTATTAGGATGATGGAAGCATTAGTTATTCAGATTGAAAGACCGAAGCTTCGTGTACAAAACAAATTTATTCAGTCTCTTCTTTTACCCTGACCCATCTCAGGCCCAATAGGCCAGTGGTCGTATCAGTTTCACCAATATACATTCGGTCTTCCCCTTTTGTATTTTCATATTTCGAATTCCTGTTATTCGAATATTGTTACTGTAATTGTTATTATTACTACCAGTATTATTATTATTATTTCACATGACCTTGCGTTACTATCATTATTATTATTATTAGTCTTGTAAGCACATGGAGAAACTAGTTAGGATTAACCCCATTTTATTGTTTCCTACTTAATTCCTACCATTTCATGCACTAAGTTATCTTCCATCAAACATCTAATGCAATTTATACCTACATTATTATTTCTCTCACTTCTTGTTATCCATATTTATTCTAACTAATAATCTCACAAATCCAACTGACTCATATACATGCTAGTCATTTCAGCCTTAATCAGTTTATTTTCTTTTCAGAACGATCCTAAATTCACATTTCATAGTTTCAAAAGATGTATTTGCCTTAAACTCGGTAATTTTTTGTTTGATTGGTTTGGTTATATGTATAACTATGTAACTTGAATAAAATTTATTGAAAAAAAACTCTTTGTTAGATGAGAAGTGATAGGCTAGTTTTTGAACTTACCTGCTAGGTTAGAATCTAGCTAGTGGTGGTCTATTTCGCTGGTCTATGTTGTGCTTTTATAGGATCATTTAGTCCACAGAACGATTCCATAGACCACTTACCTAAAGCATCTTTGTCAAACCTGATAACGTTGCTCTGTGTTACCATAAAGTAATCATATTTTCCACTCACTGATTTTTATTCCCAAGTCGACTAGATGCTATACCGTTCAGTGGAATTCTATCTATCGTTTTAATATCCTGCTCAGAGAAACCAAGATGAGGCGCTAATCGTTTACAATCTCCGCCGATTTCAAGTGCCTGGTGGACAATCAAGCTCAGACCGTCTGATAATATCTGGTTCTACATTATTTATACTTGTTTTACAAGACAATACTTTTTGATTTAATATGTTTTGAAGATTGCTACAATGTATATTGTTTGTTATAAAAATATCTACACTTTGCTTTCACCTATTTTGTAATGGGTCAGTTAAATTCGACTTGTCTGCTGCAAACCTGTTGGGTTCCGTTTTCACTAAATTAAAAAAACCATTCGTTTTTCTAAGTCTTTCAAAGAGTATTAATTGTAAAAAATACAGTTGGCTAAATAATACATATTTAGTAATACAATAATGATGTGTAATGATTAGAAATTAGTGATTCTAACGTTTATTTTAAATTATGAATTCAAACATGTATTTAGGTTTTTCAAATGTATTAATATAAAATTAAGTAATTTTTCTCCAGCTAAATCTTGTATTCTAACAGAATACCTCTACAAGCTTTCAATTTTTCGATCCAGCGATGTAAGTGAAGCTATGAATTTAACATCCTAGTCCTCTTAGAAACTGTCACTGTTGTCTGAAATAATGGAGGTTTCCTAACTAAATTATCCAGCTGAAGGAACGTAAAACCACTGGGAAAGTAATGTCTTTTCTGCTTCTCTCCAAAGCTCTTAAACAGTGGTGCCATGAAACATTCAGGTTACTGTGCTTGTCACTATTCACACTTAAAATATCCTTCAAACGCGATAATAGTAAAATGTCAGTAGACGTTGTACGCAAACAGAGCACTATAATTTGACTTTTATTAATCTTTTCAACATTACCTCTTGTAGATATCACAATAGTTTTATCTGGAATTGGTAGCTTGAATTCTAATAGAGTGATTAGACGTTGCTGTTGTGCGCTAGTCATATCCATAGTTGTTTGAGCTTTGCGTGGTTCACGTACAAATGCAATTTTTCCAGTAACTGTACTTGAATCTGGTTCATGATCCAGTACGTCTCGCAATCGAACTGGGAATGTAATTCTGTTATCATGGAATGGCCGAATGGCAAAGTTCAACTGTTCATCAGATCTTAACACTGGTACCAGATTTCCAACCATTTCAATCCAGATAGGCTTATTTTGTTGAATCTAAAATAAAAGGCAAAGCATTATTGTAAATAATTTCTTAATATTTTGGTAGGGTTACAAATAAATGTTAGTGTGACAGGACAGTTTTTGATATGCCAGAAGGAACTCATGTGTAGTACTAAATGAAAAAAATAAATTAGAATTAAAAAGCTCAAAGCTGACGATATATTTTTTCAGTATGGAGGTGTAGACATTGTTGATTTTCATTGAAATCATGAACCGATCAATGTTAAACCACAACTCATGAATAACTAGATTATGTATATTTATATTCCACTTATTATAAGCTTTATTTTGACATATAAACTATCATTATACGATTTACTATTCTTAAGTTATACTCAGTCTATTAATTACAGTCTCTCATATTCACAGCTACTTTTTGGCTTGATCTTGTACAAATGTTATTTTTTTATTTTATGGTATGATGTAGTCTCATTTGCTTGTATACAAAGAAAGTATGTCTGAAATAAATGATTCATATAGTGGTGTTCTGGACTCAACAGGCAAGGCTGGGTAGGGAAAAGGACCATCAAGGACGCTAGGCTGATTGTCAATCATATCATGTGCTAAATTAACGGATTAACATAACATATATTTGTCATTTAAAGGTTCAAGTTGAGTTTAAAGGAGTTTAGGGCATCAGAATAATTAAAATAATAAGATGAAGAAACACTATAAAGTCATTAACTGTTTGCCCGACTCTAGTCAAACAACTGTAACCCTTAAAATAAAAGCTGTTAGTTACAGATCTTTTCTGTTATGACGTGATGTGGATCCTGTTGGTTTGAGTACACCTATATAAAGCATTTGTCAAGAATAGTGCACATCTAATGATTTTAAACCTTTGTATCCTTCCTTTTTTCTCGTGTTTGCTATCCTTAGGATGTGCGATAATTAGGAAAGATAAACGTTTTTACTACATATTTGACTGTCCAGTTTGGCCTTTTATGTTGTATTGTTTATGATCAATACAAGTATAGTTAAAAATACTTGAATAGAATATTCACGCTAGTCAATCAGTTAGTTACAACTTAGAACCTGGTAAGTATGTATATCGGTTCGGGTTGCTATACTCCATCAACACAGAGAGACGAAATTGTCAGGCCAAATCCCAGAATAATAGAGGTAGTAACAGCGTGAGTGATAATGGAAAAAAATTAGTCATCGAACATGCGATTCAGAAAAGTATAAATTAGTGAGACAAAAATGAAAACTGTTATGGAGGATTCATAAACCCAGAATTCGAGGGAAGACAAAGAATGGATGTACCTGTGCCATTTCAAATTATTTTGAGCAGTTTGACTTAAAGTCTCTAACCATCGGCTACGACAATCACAACGGACCACAACCAAGTAGTCCGTACCCTTTAACATGTCTAAGTTCTATTGCCGATGGCTTTATGGACTGATACCACGTCTTGGTTTGGCTGCTTCTAAATTTATTCCAGTCTACATGTACAGCAGTGAACACGGAAAGTCAAGGTAGGCGGTGGTTGGGCATACGTAACATTTTTCTCAACCACCTCAACTGATGGAGATTTACTACCTCATCAATCAGTTTCCCACACTTAGCTAGTACCATATTCCTATGCAATGGTTACTCAGTGGTCTCACTACACACGAGAAATGCTTCGGAAATACCTGTGATCGAATACTAGTAATCTACGAGTATACTCCATTCTTAATGGCAATGTTTCACATCTTTAAAGTAGAACAGAGCAAACAACTGCACAGTAAATTCGTTATTTGGTTGGCAGACGAATATCTCGCCTACGCCACCAGCGACACAAGCTGGCAAAAGCCAGTCGAGCGTTCTGAATCGGTGCATTAATTTCGTCAAATACCAGATTTTAAGGACTGACGAGGCTCCCAAGATAATTAAAGCAATCTATGTGTCCAACTACTTCACTTATTACCGTCAATTCAGGCGCTGATGCGAGCCAACGCTTAGGCAGTCTTTTGTATTTAGAGGGAACAAACGATATCCCAAACGTGCTTGAATTGTTACTTAGGGTGTTTACAAAACTCGGCATTTTGTCAGCGTCTTTTCCAAGGAGAACTATTTCATATGAGTATTCACAATAAGTTTACATTTATTGGTTAAGGAAGTTTACACACAGTGAATTGATTTGCTTTATGCAACCAAAAGAAATAGTTGACTTTTTTGATAGTTTTGAGGAATGCGTAAACAGGCTAAATACGGTAATTTGGAAAATAAGTCAATTTTAAAACAAGTCATTGTCTAATCTTGAAAACATATTGAGAATAGTTCTGTAAATACTTTGGGAAATAATTTTCCATACATCGCTTTGATATTCTAGCTATCAAGCGAACAGTTTTGGAAATAGCATGCATAGCTTTCATTTGCTAGCCTGAGCACATTCTATTTAACAATGCAAATAAGGAAGAATGCTTAGTTTAAACTGTTGTATAGATGATTCAGGCATTCGATGTTTACAGTACGATCGAATTGTTTCTTTTGTACTATTCAAACTTGTGTAAATTTTATTTAGGTTATTTACTTACTCTGAAAAAGTGACTTAAATTAAGTCACAAAACTTAAGAAATACAATTTTCTACACTTTGGGATATCACAAAAGTATGTTTCTTATTTAATGTTACAGAAATAGTAAACGCCAACAAATTAACGGCTGTGCAGTATACATGAATCAAAGGACACTGAACAGTAGAGATTTTAAATTACTTTCTGATGGTAAATGATGTATTTTGATGATAACTGAATAAGTTCAAATATTAGAATTAGTATTTATGAAAACGGAAATTTGAAGCGCTTCAATTTCGGAGGGTATAATTACTGAGATAATAAATGAAATGTATATGTTAAGTAACAAACGTTATTTATTTCAGGATCAACAATAGATGGTCATGAATCAAGATCATTAACTACCGGGTAAGTGTTGATCAAGGAGCTTGACTTAAACGGTTGAACTCTTCGTTGTAGAAGTGACCCTATGAAATCGATGGACAAAAAACGGGACTCATATATTCGGTTTCCTGAAGACTGTTGTTATTCATATAAATAGGTATTTTCAAATAACCATGTACATGTTTGCCAAATATATATTCTTATAAGAAGAACAGAGGAATTTTAGCATCAAGTTATTTACTTACCTCTACAAATGGACCGATCGCAACTTGACAGTAATGTTCTAAACACTCCAGGGTTTTGTCATTGTTGCCGTCTGTCAGGCAAATGCACCTAATTTGAGCGAATTCGGTTGTAAACGTTTTGGTGCGTGAAATACTTCTCTTCATATCTTGAGCATGAGGAAGTTGTCTTTGTAGTTTATCTGGCGTTTTTAGTTCAACTTCTGTTTCTAGATCGGTCGACTGACGAGCATAAATAACAAATCTCCCCAAAATCGGTGGTTCAATGCTTTCATCGTAAATGCGAGTTGCTAGCTCTGTAACCGGAATATCAGGTGGGCAATCCATCAACCACAATCTATATTCAAATATAACGAGGTGCAGGTATACAAATATTAAGAAACAAAGATGGTATTTGTTTTTGAAGAGATCATCAATGTACTGTATTATTAGGGAAAACAAAGTGAAATGGAAATTACTGCAGAATGATTACATTTTTTCTAGTCCAGCAAATATGAGTTAAACTGCAAAATTTTTACCATCACAAATCCCTTATACTAATTTGATTTTTTAATAGCAAGCACAACAAACATTGTGAAAATGAAGGGGTAGTTTGATAGTGATGACTTCTCATTTCAAATTATGAATTGTGCTCTCAATCAGCTTTAACGATTTTGATTTATACAATCAGTTGATGCTAACTGTAACAGTAAAAATGAAAAATCTATTTATACCAAATTACTTTACAGAAACTCTATATTTTCACATTTCATGAGGTGTAACCAATTTTGACATCATTTTATAATAACTACTCTACCCGCTACATTAATTCCCATATTACATTCTAGTTATTTTTACAACTTAAGTAGTTTACATCATGTATTAATCTTAGTCAGACAACCATTAAATACCATATCATATCTGCATAAATTTATCTTTCTTCTTTTCCCTCCAATTATTTCGAATATGGTTTTTTGAAATGAATAACGTGTTTATGAATAATGACTCATTTATATAGCAATGTTCACGAGAGTACTTCTTTCATAATAACATCCAAGTGCTATTGCTTTTATTATTCACTAATTGAGTTGTATCTTTAGAATTTAAAAATTAATTTAATGAATCCGTATAACATTCTGAATTAATATTCTGTAAATGCTTGATAAATTTGAGTAAACATTAAGTCCTACCTAATAAAAAGGATGTGATAGTTTTCTAGGATTCATGTTTTATCCATGGTTCAAAAAGAAAACTAAATTCCATTATTTCATTTCATTTCACGTCTCACTTATGCTTTATCGACCTATGAAATGAAATCTTCCTTCTTTCAGAAAATGTAAGGATTCAAGAGTACAGTAAAAGAAATGGTTATCGAAAATTTTAGTAAATTCACATCAGTTCACTTGTTATTTATTTCTATGATGAAATGGAAAATGAACTTACCTAGCAGAAACAGTTGTAGTAAATGAAACACAATCTTTATGATGTGTCATAGGTGTTGAACCAGTTATATCTTCCCATACGGCTGGATTTATTCCACCAGATAGACTACATAGAAGTCGAACCTTTGGTGAGCTGTTTGTTGTATCTGGAATAGTTTTGGCTGAATGACGTGGAACCGGTATCGTAAGTGTGATGGGCTTATGAAATTTGCGTCGTCTTGGCTCAATACTTACGACAGGAGATACAGAAACACGACCATCCGCTAAACGGTTGATGACATCATTAGGAATAATTTGGGCCTAAGACATAAATATAAGTACCATGTCTTAAAAACTTTTATGACAATTGTGTATATCATAAAATCCTATTATACTAAGTAATATTTACAAATATTCAAATACAGTGAATGAGACTAGGTAAATTACATACTTGCAAGCCAACTTTAATTCTTTTTTGAAGTGATCCTGGAGGAAACACAGCTTGGACTTGTGGTGCTACGGTGGAGCTAATAATTCCACCATCTGAACCAATGAAAGCAACCTCTTGACGAAATCTCGAAATTAACGCGAAATATTGTGGAAGATCGTAGGTCAAAATTCGATGAATGCGTTTGTTAAGACTTGAAGTATTCAAGTCAGAATGATCTGAGTGTCGAACAAAATATAGAGAGATCAAGAATGATATATATATTAAAGATTTACTAGATCTTAAACAAAACGTAATCAAAATGAAAATAAATTTGCTTGTAGAGTAAGATTAATGTCAGAAATAGATCACCATCCTTCATTAGCAATGTCTTATTGTTTGTCTTTGTAACTGTACTGAATAATGCTCTCAGGAATACTGGTACCAGCCTAACATTGGATAAAAATATTTACTGTAACTGAATTAGTTCTGAAGTAACGTTATTCACCACCTAAACACTGAAATACTTAAATTTAGGACTGATTAAGGGCACGGATCCATGGAGGAAAAATGAAGCTTGAAAAACATGAATATCCAGAAAATCAGGATATTGTGGATTCTCTTCATTTTAGTGATCAGGAATTTTCAAACGACTTCTATGTCTGATTGTTTTTGTGGATACAACTGGGTAGATAGAATGACCAGCAAATACATCATAGCTTTATTAGACACTGTTTAGTATAACTAAGTCTGTCGAACAGAAATCCAATATTACCATGTTAAGTTAACATAGAACGCAAAATCGACAATATTCCACCGTTTATAATCACTTGCAGAGGTCCCTTGGAACCTTCAGGATGTGTGTATCATCAGTATTGTTATGTTTATTTATTAACACATCTAAGAAATAAATAACTGTTGTTTTATAAATCATGCATGGTTTCTGTGTTTTTGAAGAGGGTGCAATCGATGCATTGTTAGTATTACGGCCGTATATTGTAAGTAATTACGCCAATTAGTTTCATACTTTGCATAAATTAAGTTTTGTACTTAATAATATTAATTTCTAAAATTTTGTGACTTATTTTTCACGAGCTATTACAACATCATTTAATGCCCAGTTGTCATCCATCTTATAAATATTTTTGTTTAATAGTTTCTGGTCATATCTAATTAATCACAGAAAAACTTCATTCTATATTGGAGTCTTTATGGACAATTTATTATTGAAAATAATTCTAGTGTTGATAACATTATAAAATTATGCAACAATTATTAATTTCAATGATTGAGATCATGAGTCAATAGAAGCTAGACCACCATGGAAAACCTGGAGTCTCACAATAGGACGAAACGGCCGTCCATTGCTTCCACGTTTTCCATGCTGGTCTAGCTTCAATTGACTCATGATGTCAATCAATGACATTACTATAATATCCACAAAACCCTTCTGATATGGATTACTTATTTAATTACAGACCATGATACTCGAGAACACAATATTTCGGGGCTATTATTGATGCCATTTTTTAAGCGATACAAAACATCTATATTTTGTTAAAAAATTACTGTTTCCAAAGGTAGCCTGGAGATAGTTTCAGATTAATTACATATCCCGTTTACATTATCTTACCGCAGTGATTTGTTCATATGCTTATGGGAATTTTTACCAGCTTGAATATGTTAAAATGATTCAATAAAATAACTAAATGGGAAATAATTTTCTTCTTGTCCATTCAAGATTTTATTAGATTTTAGACATAATAATCGCTATGCTAGTTAGAAATCTGTCTAAATAAGAACTTTCGTCTAAATTTGATCGAATAGTTTCACAGTATATGGATGCCGAGTTGATGTGAGACATTAAAGAGGAAGAATGTATTTGTAAAATCTCAGCGAATGAGTTTGAAGTTAATCCATCGTTTCGCCTGTCAATCTGATCCAAGCTTTTTCAAGGAAATATAATCAAACATCAAAATTGTCGATACTATTTGTTTCGATAGTTGGATTTACTTCAAATTCATTCCCTGAGATTTTACAAATACATTCCTCCTCTTTAGAAATTTGTCTGTTGATAAAAAGCTTATCATCATAACCAAGAATTAGTTATCAAATTTTCTTGTTTACTTTCAATGACATGCATAGTCTGAACGCTGACAAAGAAATTATATACACGTAATTTTTATCAATTTTCCCTCGTCACGTTAAGTGATCACTTTAATCTACATCACTGAAAAAGTTAAGTTCGGTCGACGCGTGATCAATAAGAAAATTGACCATACTTTCCATCCTAATATCATATGCCGACTCCAATATAATTGATGTCATTTTTTTCTTAAGTTACAATTTCATGACAATGAAACCTAATAAGTGAAAAGAAGTTAAAATGTGCAAATTTCGATATCCAAACAAAACAGTTTGTGCTAGACGGATTTCAACAGATTACAACAGTGCGCCATCTACAGTCAACAAACAGTGTGTTGCTGAATACATTAGTACACATTTCGAAATACAAGTAAACCAATCACTTATTACTAGACATTGATAATCATACCCCTGAAGTATCATCAATAGGGGGTCAAGAATCACATAACTGTGGCAATAATTTCGGGCAACAGGGGTAATGTTGGAAATCATTATTTATTGAACAAGAAGTAGTCTGTCCATTGGACGTTTGAAACTACATTTTGATTGGTCTAAGGGTAATGGAGAGAACAGTCAAAATACAAGTTTAAATCCTTGAAAACTTAATTATCTCTGAATACACAACATTCAGCCAGAGCCTATAAAGTTCATTACTAGTTGTTGTTTTCATTGATAGTTAATATAAATTAAAAACAGCTGAGACAAAGTGAAAAAGTTTTCGTTTTGGCTATCAGTAACTGACACATTCTTATTTTATTTAAGTACAGACTTTTTTTAAACTGAATCATGAACACTCGTTATAACTTATGAATATCTCAGAAACCGATTATCTCGATAAACATTGTCACAGTTTTTATTCTTGTTGTACTTAAGATTTTCAAGGCACAAAATTCCATGAGATTACAAAAACAGAAAGTTTAAAGAGCTGCCTTCCCGAAAACTCATCATACCCTCCAGTCTTTACCACGATTATCATAAATTCGAGTTATCTTCCACTATACTATTGACTACACGTTTTCAGTAAAGACTAACTTTGTACTATGAACAGTATTTTCTCTTCAGATCTCCTACAAATGTACTACTTCAAAGTTATCGACTGGTGAACCCCTATTCGCTATTCAAATTAAGTGTTTGGGAGAAGTAATGCTGAATGTACATGATGAAATTGGATAACTGAACTTGATTTGGTGGCTTAACAGTAATATTGTTGCTATGGGATCTCAGTTTTATACGTTTATTTCTTTAAAAAATCACATTAAATTTTTAACACGCTGGAGAAAATATGTAACGTAATTACATGACGACTATCTTCTTATGTTAATGACTTCCACTTGGCATACAAGTTAAATCAGTAAGACAGGAACAAATAGATTAAACCAACCAAGCAAAGAAAAACAAAAAGCTTACCAAATGCATCACCCAACGAATCATTTATCGCCTGCTCATTTGCTTCTAATGTGTGTTCTTTCCATGAATTTCCCGTTTCACTTCTAACAATTATAATTTCACGTTCTCTTCCTTTAATAGATGCTATATGAGGCACCTCAACAAGTATAGGTAAACTGAAGCGCATCTGGTTTGGATTCATTTCAATAATCCTATAAAAGATGTTACACACTAAGTAACAAAGCGTTGTTCCTCAGATTACCATTAAAAGGAAAATTCAATTCATTAGTTCAATTACAAATGAGCTGTAAATTTCGTTTACCGTTATTACAATTGTATTTTTAGTTAATTATTGCTTGTGCTAACAATTTCTAGCTTATTTTAGATTTGGTTGCAGGTTCGTTCTCTGAGCTTGGTTATTTGGTTTCAAGCTAAACGGGATTATGATTTCATTGCATTCAACTCTATTATTAATTCATACCATAATTAAAACAGTTTAAGCTTTAAACAGTGCTCGTGTCTGCATTTACATCAATTTGTAGACTATAAACACTGAACGTTTATGATCTGCAATTAACAAACTTACCAAGGAAATTTGATAAGATACGAAAACGGTAACTATATTTAATAACGTGTGTCGATTTTGTTATGAGTTAAATATATTATTCCTGTTTGAATGTGTTTGGATTTGAAAATGTAAAACTGACAGCTCTTAAAATTTACTATGATGTCAAACAAGAACACGAATGATAGTATTTCAGGAAATGGTGGAGAAGATTTGTAGCTCATGTGAATGCTTTTAGCAGTGGTGCATTCTCTGGGCTAATTGCTCTAGTTGAGAAACGTTTGTTGTCGTTCTTGACAATTGTAGTAACTACTCAAAGTAGAATTGGTAAGCTACACTTGGAAACAAACATGATTCTAGTATTTTGAACTTAATGGATAAGTGTTTAGACATACTCTTCATATCGAAATACCTGACTGTTAATGAAGAATATTCTTTTCAATCTATCCTCAGTATATTATTCAATCAGAGATTCTAACTGATGGTTCAGAAGAATTATAAGATTATAATAAGACGGGGGTTTTGTGGAGATTGTAGTATTCTATTATTGACTCATGAATTCAATTATTAAATTATAAGATAACCAGTCATTTAGCAGATTATCAATAACAAAAAGACAGATTTTCAGAATCTTAGACCTAACTGAAAAGTAATAAATACTCGTTTTCTTTTTTAAGATAAACTATCGCGCACTTGTGTAGTTAAAAAATGTAAAATTACTTACCGACAGGCTAAGCAATCACCGTCATTAAAAATTGGTGGATTGTCAATCGCTTCTGGGCGGAGTAAACGACAAATTATACGTAGTGGTCCAGATGGTGCATTAGGCGGTACAAGAAATCGTAAACCAGGTCGTCTTTGAGCTTCGACAAGGCCACCTCGAGCATCGATGATAAAAGAGATAAGAAACCTTTCAAATTATAGATAAACTTATAGGAACATACCCCGACTTAACTAAATTCTTCGTCGAATGCACATTATCTACATCGAAATCCCATTCTGATAGAGCGGCAGGTGAAGATGCATTAATTGTCATCTGAACTGGCTGTTGTGAAGCTGTAGCTGTTTCACCCTATATAGAGACAACACAAAATGAATGCATGAATATTTTCACAACATATAATTCAGTCACAAAAGGCTATTAGTTTCTTAGTACACTGGATATTCTAAACAGTTTTCATGTTTTATTATTTTCGTTTTTAGAAGTAGTTATATGTTTTTTAAAATTTTGAAATGAACGTTGTGCATAACAGAGTTAGACTACAATATTTGAACAATGCTATGAGAAGATGAAGATTATCAGAATTATGTGATCGATTAGTACCTACAAACACCCAACTACTAATTCACATTGAGAAGTATTCTACCAAATTTTTAGTGTGTCATTTAATTGGTAGCTCAGAGTTTAGGGCAAGTAAATGATAACAGATATTGAAACTGTGAGTGTTTTGAAATACCTACTCTATTGGATTTTAAGAACAGAGTTATCTATTCTTTCTCTTTGTGGTTCATTTTATAATTCTTAGTAAAATATAACTTTTAAGTGCTGTTTTTATTCTGAACAGATGTTTTGTATCTTCAAGGAATTTACATTTATTACCCTGATGTAAATTGGACAACATTCCAAGTATGAGTCTGATGGGGTTTATTCGTTTATCAAATTACGCTCAATTATTGTTATATAACGACTGAAGTAAAAGTCTTCATTTTCAAAGGGACTTAGAAGCAGACGGATATTTAATGTATAGTAGGTACTAAGTCGAGTGTAGGAGCTCAGACTAGTAACACCAATCCGATTCACTATTTCAATAAAATGTAATTAAAAGCAGAGTGTGATCTCGTGTCATTTATGTATAATGACGACGATTGTTGTTCAAGTTAATAAAAGGCTAAAAATATCTATGAACCGTAACGATGAACTTGTTTTTTTTATAATGCTAAACAATGCCCTAAATAAGATTGTATTAAGTATCTCCTCTTAAGCATCAGTAAACCAAGTTACATTATTGGAGAAACACGTACTTTTCCATTGAGCATTGGCTTCACATGTTCTGCGGTCATACTTTCATGAAGACCAGAGCAAAGAGTTTCACCTCCTAAGGCTTAAAATAAGTAAATGATACAACAGAAAATTGATTAGAAGGAAAGTAACTGAACAATTATTAATGTTTGATTAGCATCACAGTTACATAGTGTGGGAATTTATCTTCGTTGATAAGTTTAACTTGAATGAATGGAAGTCTCTGCCTATTTGTACAGACATTCAAAAACTATAGTTGCCGGCGTCAACAATTTGTGCAACCTATGTAAAGAATGAGTATTATTTAAATAGCTAATACAAATCATGGGTTAATTACGTTTAGATATGATAAAATTGTATGAGACCGTTGAATAGGTAGATTTGAAAAAAACATCTGCAGGTATCAAACATAGTTAAAGGTTGTTTTTGCGTAAAATTATTTGAAATCTATATATATGCTTATTGTTCATATTATTTCAATGAGCAGTGTCAATTTTGGCTTATAGTAACGTGCTTATAGAATCGCGACTTCAAACGGAACAGTGTGTCCACTTTAATAAGCTAACAATACAATATACGGAAGCGATCAAGCGGATTCGTTCAATTGCCTTACAAACCATGACCTAATTCACAGCAATTCATGAAGAACCGCCAGGTATACAAATCCGATCTTCGTCAAAAATGTCCACCGCTCATAGCTAGACACCAAGGTCTCAAGGATATTCCCGTTTAAAAAAAAACAGGTACAATGAATCATGTGTAAATAGTAAGTAAAATTTATACTTCTGAGTTGAAGTTGTTGCTTAAGTTTAATTGAGACCAACGTAGAGTCAAAATGAAGTAGCTGAACCAAACCTGATACCAATTCAAAATAATCATAGTAATAACTAATTCTCATATCTGAAATGCTAGGAACTATATAGTATTACAAGGGACCATTTTTTAAAATAAAGCTGTAGAAGAACTCAAATGCACACTGTCACAATAAGAAGCTTTTGTGGATATTTCCACACATAAGGAAGCTTCAAGTCAACTGGCATGTTTTTTCTAATAGTGTCCTCTCCATCCACTTTATTGGCATTTTTTGATTAAATTGGTTTTTTGTCTGATCTATTTGAGTAATTTTTATCTTGAGACATGATAGTGTTCTGAATCCAATCAATGGCGCATAATGGCTTTTATGTATTTGATTTTTTCATCGCCATTTGAATAAAAATGAGATATACATTTTCCATTAGTAAATCTACCTTATTAGGGACATGTTATTACAGAATGTAAATGGGAACATATGCTAATATTTTCCTTTATATATTAAACAATATTGTTCGCAGTATAAATATAATTTAATATCAATGTCTGTTAGTTTGTATTGGTTTAGGGTGATCTATTGAATAGAAACAACTGACTTATTAAAAATTTGTTAAAGAAAAATGTAGCGAATAACTCTGGTTACAGTACATATATTTTTCCATCCTAATACATTCAAATTACACTATTTCTGTGTTTATAAACTGTAATCATGGTACATTTTAAAGAGCAATATGTATGTTTAACATTTTACAGGAGTCCCGAAATAGATATTTCATAATCAATACATACACAAAAAAGGGTTTTAGAAGGTGAGCGAGTCACAATATTACTTTGAGTGTAAAAGCGCTAACTTTCACAGTGTTGTTTTGTATTATGATGTCAGTTTATAGAAAGGAATATCTGGTATTATAATTTTCAGATTAATTTCTTATCAGCTACTTTTGCAACCGCGATTATTGTTTACGTGGTTGAATTATAACAAATCCTTAATTGTTTATTATGAATCATGAATCTTGCCGCAAATAAAAGATTTGCTAATAACGTTTCGAAATAATTGACATATTTTTAAGCATTTCCCCTTGTTGATATTTTACTCGCTATTATTTGAAACGAATTCTTGTGAAAACCACTACATTATTTACAGCAAACTAATATACGAAATATGCAGTCAGTATATTTAAAACTATTCTACTCACCAGTTAAATATTCAGGAATACGCAGTGTTGTTGGGCGGACTGATATGAGTTTATTATCCAAAGTTGGTGTACTTGGAATTGATGTTATATCGTTATCTGCTGATTTGATGCAGTGGATCGTATTCGGTTTATGATACAAACAACAGCAGTGTTATTATATTAGCAGACCAGATTCGTGATCAGCAAAGATACATTTGAGCAGTTCCATGCAGAGGGGAAACAGACAAACAAAAGTATGTACAAAATTTTAAAACAGCAGTCCTTTTCCCAACGTTATTTCAAAAACGGTTTTGAGGAAGGGTTTTTGTACCATGGTGTAAGTGTTGAAAAATGGAACTGTAGTTAATTAATTTATGCAACTAGTTCAATTTATCGATAAAATTATTTCAAGTTCAAAAAATAAAATTTCGCTTCGCCTAAATTTCCTTTCGCTTGTTTCTTCAAGTTAATTTGGTAGAACATTTGAAGTGCCATAATTAGGGTGCATAAAGTGAAACTTTAGTCTATTTAAAGTTGTATGTCCACCAGCGATAAAGTGTGATAGGTAAGCACTGATTTCAGACACCAGTGTGGTTAACTGTGAATGTTTGGATGTAAAGTGACATCCATCTGTTAGCATACATACAACCGGTAATCATGAGAAAGATGTTTTCAGTGTTAAGCTGTGGACATAAACAAATCAATAGCAGTAAATGAGAATAAAAATAATTTAAAGCTCTCAAATATGCGCTGATTATTCCTCATATCCTAAGGGTAATAAGCTAATAACTGCTTGAATTTTTTCTTAACTGTGGAACTACTTTTAGATGAATACATTAAAGTTTAAGCCTAAGCAGATACCAGTAACTATTATCTTGCAACTTTGTCAATGGGCAACATGACAATTTTGTTGATCTGTCACTAGGTTTAACTGATAATTAGGCCCTAGCTTTGGTGCTAAAAGTTTGCATGAGTGAAACCATGCATACGTACTCATCTCACCAAGTTAAGTATTTGGTTTTGAGTGGATTGTTATAGTGATCGAGAGGTATGTACTTAAGTCCATCATTATATGTAGATCATAGTGAATTTGAGAGGAAAAGTAATATTTTGTCTAAATTCAAGTAGTCTGATTACTTATCTGGACAGTATTCTGTTTTAAATTATTTTTTACATTAGGAGAAATAAATGTATTTCAACACTTTGTCTTTCGTACAGCATCTAAGGTAAGTAACAGCAAGAACAATTGCTGAGACCATGGTTTATGGACGATCTTTGAGCGACTCCAAAGTGATCTTGAGAGTGTCTACCTACTTACTAGGGCTAAATGAGGGTTATAAAGTAATTTGAAGAATAAAGAATATGATTCACAGTTGATGATTGAGTTTAGGAATTAGATTTACGGTTTTTCATCACGAACTGACAAGACGCTATTTAGACAAATGGGTGTGTGAATTTCGCGCCCAAATCCAAGACTTGTTATCCTAAATCTGATTGATTCGTCCATAAATTATAATTTACAGTATTAAAAATAAAAGTCTGAGACTTGTGACTCCTCATAAACTATGGGACTTAATGGACATTAAATATAATTGATAATTGTGAGTGATCAACAGAGAACCTTAAGTGGAAGTACCATGTTAATTAAGATCTATTCAAGAAGATTTTCTGGTTGTTAATGGAGCAAGCAAAAAGTAGTATGAGAAGTTATTTCACGACTTGTCATAGGGTTATGAAATCACTCATTGTTGATGTAAGTCATTTGAAGAGTTTTAGATATCCTGTTTATGGTTTCAAATCTTAGATTACATTTTTCATAGTATTTTGCATTTAAACCAAACAGCGCATTCATTATTATCTTCTTAATCATGAACACGATATGATGCCAAACGCTTCATTCTTTACTTTCATCTTTCTATTGGAAATTTTCATTGTTTTGACTTGACTATTATTGCGTTGTTACTATTTTCTTTCCTAGCTTTCCCCTACAGGTTGTCGCTCCTTGTAGTGATGTGAACTGTGATAACCTGAACCAATACATACTGATATATATAGCTTACATTGGTAATGTACATTTATATAGACTAAAACGTCCATTTAATTGTTTACTTGTTATACATATGAAGAATATGTTTCTCTTGTAAATCAATAACTTCTATAGCCAAAAGTTCAAATTAATGATCCAAAAAAGTTACAAGGTAAGCATGAACAAGTTTCTTATGCTTGGTTATTTACATGTTTTAACAAACTATAAATTTAATAGTGTAAGCAGTATAAGGCGGTAAACGTTTTGAAGTTATTGAGTGGACTAGTAAGTCAAGTAACATTGCGAGATGTTACACAAGTGAACTATTTACTCATCACCCCCCTATTTTAATTACGTATTTTAAATCAAATTAATAATTTCATATTGTTATTTGATCACAAGCTTGAATGAAGCAATCAACGCATACTTGTCATCACAATATCTACCAAACTTTAGCAAACCTACTTTACTTACGTATGTAACTTGCTAATAAAAATGAGTTTGACCCCAACTAAAAAATTCTTTACCATTATTTGAAATTGTGACTGTAGGACTCGACAGTAATTCATTGAAAATTATATTCTTAGTTTAATTATTAATGTATTTAGGTGTAATCGATTTTTTTACCTATTGTCTTTATCAGTGCTATAAATAATTCACTGAGTAACTACCAACACTCTACAATTACTTGTCTACATTTTTAAATGCACTGAAAATGTCTCGTGTAGTTGACAATGTTATGAATTTTGGCTACCATGGTTTTAAACGTGATTAGATGTTAGTCAAATGGAGAAATTTAGAAAAGTAATTTGAATGAACAATAATCATAAATAAAACCCTTTAAAGTCAAACATTTATACGTAGGGCAAATGTATTCGGCGTAAAACTCCTACCTGGTTCATCTAACGTTTCTTTACGTTGTTCAGGATGTCGAAACATTGCTGGTGTAGATAAAAGGTCGGCTGCATATTAACACAAAAATACCATCAAAACAACATTTATTAATTACAACACTTATACATTAAGATATTCACATAGAAAAATGTATTTCTTATGCGTTTCTTATGATTGTGTTTAATAGTTTCTGAAATTATTGATTATGTGTAAAGTTACCTATGAGTATTAGTATTAATTTATCTAATGTAAAGAATGTTATAGACTAATACTACGCGATTCTCTCAAAACGATGTCCCATTTTCAAAACGTGAATTTTTATTAAATCAAATAGAATTCATTTTAGTGGGGAAGAAATTTGTGTTTTACTGCATTGAACTGAATTTTACTTCAGGTACTGAATGACAGTTCTTACTAATATCAAGCTTTTAGGCCACATTTCTCAGTTGGTAAATAATATCCTAATTACTTCCCTGTAATAACAAAGAAAATAAACAAAGAAATCATATGAATCACAATAAATACTAATGCATGATCTGAATCCTTTTGTTTCAAGTAAATGCTCCTTAGAAAGACGAGTAAAATAGTTTTGTCCTACAAGTGCTAAAATCGAATAGTATATTTTTTAAACATAAATTAATCTGCCTAATATTCTAATTTGCTATTTTCTCACTAGGTTAAACATTTCCTTCACCGTATTCATTGTTACTGAAACTATCATTAATGATATGAGTGGAAAGTATTACTACCGATTCATGACTGCACAAGATTTTTTCAAAGATTCTGGATCTATTTTCGTTGTCAAAATTAGAATCCTTAGTGTTAAAAAAATTTTATTTAATGAATAAGTATAAGCAAGTATAAAGTTGTGTTCAGAAGGGACATGCTCCATACGGGTTAAAAATTCTTGATATCAGTGAATGTCTAATAATTAGTTGCGCTGATGTAATGCTTAAGGTGGTTACATAAATACAGCTGATTGAAACTAAATAGAGCAGTGTATTTTGTAAAGTAATTCAATAATTTATTTGACAAATAATTCAGTTTTATAGTAAAAAAATTAAAAATTTTACTACCTTCATCTTCACTATCTGAGATCATGTGATCAGTCATATATTCCGCTTTTTCTAAGGGCATTACACCGTGGATTAGATTTACATTATCATCTATTCCATTTGAACTAGGTAAACCTCCGTCACCGCCATTAGTTGTAACTGATTGCAACAATTCGAACAAGTTCAAATAATGTTGCTTATGAGCTAATTTTGCTGCTGTCCATCCTTGCTAAAAAATCAAAAGTTATGAAAATTTAGCCGAGCATTATTTACATTTAAACAATATCAACAAAACTCTGTAACTAGACATACGCTTGACCTAAAGAAATAGTGTTCATAGGCAAGTATAAACATTGAAGTTATAATTAGTGTGATAAGATTTTTTTAAAAATTACCTTATTACAAATGTTTGGATCAGCTCCCATTTGAATCAGTTTTAGAGCTACTTGTAGATGACCTTGTTGGGCTGCCAAATGCAGTGGAGTTGAACCCATATGAGTGCGACTGTTTATAACTTGCGGAAGTTGATGTTCAGGGACACATGATAGAAGTAGACGAACAGAGGCGAGCTGTCCCCTATAAGCAGATGAATGTAGCGGTGTAAACCCAGCTTTCAGTGTCTTCGTATCAATGGATGCGCCTGAACTTAATAAATATTCGGCTACGTTAGCTTTATCTTCCTGTACCGCCAAATGTAGTGGTGTTAAACCGTCCTATAAAAGTGATATATTGTAAGTATATAGAATGAGATAAAGAAATAAGGAATTTAAGTTCGTGGATCTAAGCATATAATCAGCTTAACGATCAATCTCTTGAACTGATCACTGTTAGAAGACGGGTAAAACAGAAAAGTTGTATCCATAATTCTGAAGCCGACAGACCTGGTTTAGTACAGTCTTAATGGAGTCTGTATATTTTGCATTCAGACTTCGATTACCTTTGGGCAATTTTCAATTCAATGAAGATGAGTCATTCACGAAATTCAAATTTGTTTTTGGATGGTTAAGCTAATAAATGAAATATATATTGAGCTATTCCTCAGTACAATAAAAGTGTAAATTAAAAAATAAATGAAAGTGGATGCTACTTCTTATGGGGATATCAGTTTGTCTACACAACACATACCTTGGCTGGAGTATTCACTTGAGCTTTGTATTTTTCAACAAGAACTTTAACTATTTCGATTTGACCATCTTGTGAAGCTAAATGAAGTGGTGTATAACCGTTCCTTGAACCCTTATCAGTTACGGCTCCTTTAGATGCTAATAAATGGATTGAATCTAGATGATTTCGTTTGGCTGCCAGATGAAGTGGTGTAAAGCCATTCTTAACAGGTCGATTGACATCACCTCCAAATTCTATCAATTTATCCAACATCTTTAAAGTAAATGCAAAATTAAATATAAGTTTCAACGGATTTGACGTTATTGTCAAATGAAGAAAATCACTAATGTTTTAGGAATGATTATGAATGGAATAAACAGTCTCAACCTCACACACTTGGTGATCATAACCCATAATCATATGTGGTTTGCATGTTTAGGACTGAAATAGGATCAACAGTAAGACAAGTGTTAGGTACTCATAGTGGTTTAAGTTGTAAGTAGATAGTCATAGAAGTTAATCCAAAGTTCAGTTAATTAAATAATAACTCAGTTGATTATTTTGCATGAAAAACTAACAGGTAGACGAGCCCGAACAGATCCCAGATTGCTGCAATACCAGACTAATTAAGTGCTCTTGCAAGGTCGCACGGTGCTCGTGAAATAAAAATTGTGATAAGCCTATCGTGAGCAAGTTATCCAACTGTCTAAAACGATATTAAAACATGGAATATTCTTTTCAAGAAACTCTCATCAGGTTTTACATTTGTAAGTTAAATTCTATGACAGCTTACTCAGAAAAAAACTCTCTTCATTCATGCGTCCGTGGATTTGTAAATTATCCACCAAACCTAAGACGCGGCCTACATTCCCTTGATTACTGAAGCCTTTTACTCACTTTTAGTCTTCACCTTTCCATCAGTCAGTCAGCTACAACGTAGGACCAGGCACATATATGCATCGGTCCAAGTTGCCATACCTCGTTAACACAACAAGATGGACACCGGATTCATAAAAGTAGTTAATTCAGAGGTGGTAATATATAAAAGAAAGATTGCAATAAGGATATAGTACAGGAAGAAAGAATTAGTTCGTAGAAAGAAAGATATGAAGTGATTTTAATCTCTTAGTTTAAGAGAAGACAGAGACTGTATACACCGACGCCATTGTGATCGATTCTGAGCCATGTCACCCACCTTTCCATAGCTGTCAACTGCTCCCTAGTTTTCAATGGTTATCTAACTGAAGTCAGTTCATGATATAAAACACCTAATTTCTTATAAACTTCGTTTATTTATAGTCACTGTGCTATGAAATTGTAGTCTCTGAGTTTTACTTTCTCCGTGATCCTCTACTTATAGAAGAAATCATCAATAACAACTAATTAACGGATGTATGGTATTTAGATAACTTTCGTCTGGTTATCTGCTATTGAAGAATTAAATTTATGATCCTCATGTGCTCACATTACTTTATAGTATGTATTAAACTATATATTGGAAAACATTCGTCCTTATAAACCTGACTGATTTCCGCATTTCTCAAATTCAGGGCATGTTCCTCAACTATCAGTTATCCAGTTCAAGCAAATTTTTTAAAGATATAATTATTTACGAAACAGTTATTATGTAAACACAATATACCCATTGAAATATAAAATAAGACTGGTTCAGCGAAGAGTTCACTTCAGCAAATTCATTTTCAAAGTTATACAATTCCAAATATAATTATTTCTCAAAATGATAACTATTACGATTAGAGTGACAATTAAATTTCGTTAAACATGGTAACAGTGAGTCAGAATAAATAAAAGCATAAATATGTCATTTTTATTAAGGAAACTACCTCACCGTTACCATGTTTAGCAGGATTTCATTATCACTATTAATGTAATAATTATTTAGTTGATAAGACATTAGTAAGGTATAGTGGGTCTATCTTATTATTATTATATGTATGGTTTTCTGGTTAGGATTTAATTCGACCAAATAAAATGCTGCAGTTTAAAAATTTCCATAAAATATTCAAAAAATAACAATTTTTCTCAATACTGGTTTTAACCATTTGGATATTACTTCGAAAGGGGTTTCTAATCTCTTAGAATTGTGAATTTATTTCAAAACACTACCTTTGGAACACATCAGATGTTGCTATTGCATCTAACATTATTTTGTCTTATTTGTATCCACATTACTGGATATAAATTAAATGGTTCTAGCTATTTTGACGTGTTCTTAAATCAAAGTTAAACTAGCTCTGATCGTTCTAGATGAAATATTTGAAACAGTTAGAATTTACATTTAGACCATCTACTTTAGTCTCGTTTCATCGATTATTTGTTTCAGGAATTTGGGTAAAATTTAAAAACTTGCTATCAGACTGATACTCAAATTTTAAACTCTATTTATTTTTGTAATTCAGTATTGTTACGTAGCTGTTGTATGAATGACAGACGCTTAACTATTCAATTTGTGTCACAAATTGAAGCTTGAAAACATTTTCGATGGGACAGTTTATTTTATTAAATGCAACTATTAATTATTATTTATATCACTAATAGTTCGCGACCCACATAGGAATATCTTTGGTTTGAAATGTGATTTACAATTCGTAAACCGTTTATAGCCCACCATTTTCGACCACTAAAATCAGTTTCTTTCCAATTATTTAGCATTCATTGACAGACCAAATTTTATATGCACAAAAATAATACTATAAACAGTTAACTTAACACTAATTTATTTCTAATTATGAAGTCAAACTTGGTGATGATACTTAGTAAATTCTATGATTAAAGTTTAGAGGTATCCTGGTAATAGTAAACACCCTCTATGATAGTCTAGTTTCTAGCTTCGTCCTGTTCAAAACATTACGTATGTTAACATTAAGCTGTTATGAAATCATGTTGATAAATTCATTTCTTTTCGATTATTAATTAAACATTTCTGACAAGATCTATCGTTGAATTACTCAACTACAAATATAACTCATCTTGGTACCTGAAAATTAGTATTTAATATAATAAAAGACAAATAATGGCGTGGCTGAATAAACGAAAATGAAGCAGCAATTGAACGCTTACAAAATCATGACAACTTACTTTGTTATTATTGTAATATGTGGCCACATGTACAGGCGTGAAGCCATTGGGACCAGTTGCGTTCGGATCAGACTTTGCTCTGTCCATTAACAAATGAGCTGTTTTGCATGAACCATATTTTGCTGCTAAGTGTAAGGGTGTAAATCCTTTCTGTTGAAAATAAAATTTGCAAATGTATTTATTAGAATAACTAGTAAGTGTAACACGTGAACCAAACAAATCATTAAGCGAATTTATGCTACCACAACTATGCTGATAAAACAACGAGGAATTGGTTTCGAAGTCTAAGAAACGCTGTTATTTATATGAAACTATATTTTCTATTTAATTATTCAGGATGTTATGTTGACCTAATTTGTTGTTCATCAAACCTTTTGTTAAGATTTCATCCGATCTCATATACTTGTCAATCTTTTATAACAAATAATAAGATATTAATTAGTTTGTAGACTTTATTTTTTGTCGCTTCCGAAGAATGTCGTCACCAAATTACTTGTAATGTTTAACCAATTAGTCTCATGAACATGCATACTGAAATATCATATATGTTTAGAACATGGTTTGTGATTTCATTTTAATGGACTGATTTTGAATATGTGAATTACCGTAAATAAGTTCGAAGCTCTGTATTCTAGTAGGGCTTTCTCAAAAGCTGGCTGATATTGATCAAGTGCTGAGAATGAGTGACAGTGTTAGAATGCGTCTTAATTAAACATGGGGAAGTGTACAGTAACATATTATTAACGAATTAGTTATTGGCATCAAATCAATCGGTGAATAAATCAGTTTTCATTTCTCAGTTTAAAACTTGGTTATTAAAAGTAGAGCCTGCTTAAGAAATAAATAGACAACATTGACTCACCTTTGTTTTAACTTCCGGATTAGCATCGTGCTCAATCAATATTCTAACAATATCTTCTGAGTCTTCTTTAATAGCCATGTGTAATGGTGTATAATTATCTTTTGTCATTATATTAGGATCAGAACCAGCATTCAATAACAATTCAACAAGTGGCAGATAGTTTGTACGGACAGCGACATGTAAGGGTGTTTGATTATCCTAATAAAGAAGAAATATGTAGTCAAGACAATCTGCAAATAATTTTATTTTCTATAACATGACTATATTTTCACTGTATTAAAGTCATTTCATGTTTTGTTTGTTTCATAGTAAAGATTCTTGATCACATGAAAATTGAAGCTTAGTTCTTATTCTTTTATTCACATTGATATAATCAGATTAACATAGATCATGATGCATTCCTGTCTTTGCTTGTAGTAAAATAATTCAATCGGTATTATATCCATTTTCAATTTAGTAAGTGTGTGGGTAAATCTTTTAGATATCTTATTTTCTGACTGAACATAGAAAGGTTTCCTCACCCTAGATTTATTTCAGAAATTAATAGATAGTTATCGAGTATATTGAGTCTAGATTACTTTCAATCATTAACTATAAGCCTATAAACATAAACTCTTACAGTAAAGTCCACTTCAACTGATTAATTTAAAGTAGACTCATAGTTCGTTCGCTACTCGTAATCTGAACTCATACCTATATCCGATGCTTCTATTAGTTAGCGAATGCTGGGGGATCCTGAAAAGTAAGCAACATTCTTCACTAAAAGAGTATGAACATTTTTAATATGGGTGTTGAATGAGGGTCAAACTAAGTGATGTTAAAATGAAAGGCCTTGGATATTGACTACATTTTGTGTTGAACTTGTTCCAAAACTTTCATTATCTACCTAAAAACCAAATGTATTCAAATCTTAATGGTTTTATCTTACACGTCAATAACTTACTCTTGTACGGCAATCTAAATTTGCCTGGTAACCAAGAAGAGTTTTCACTGTCTCCAGTTGTTTATTTCTAGCCGCTAAATGTAGTGCAGTTTCATTACGCAAAGTTGTTTGATTCACATTCGTACCATGTTGTAAAAGAAATGAGACAATGTCTGTACACCCGAAAAACGCAGCCACATGTAATGGAGTGAGACCAGTCTGACATTTCAATAAAATGTAGATGAATAGAAAACAAAATGATCACTTTCAAAGTTATTGTTATTTCAGTAAATGTGTTTTACATATTTGGTTTTTTAAGAGTGTAAAATAAATTTAACCTTTGAAAATCTGTTTTAAAATATTCGAGGGAACACAAAGATGACTGAAGACTTCTTGGTGAACTCAAAAGCAAAAGCTATCTGTAACGAAAATTTTTTGAACACAAAATTTATATTAGACGAGACTGACAGCTGAAAACTCTTACACACCAAAAGTGTAATTATAATTCTCGTTACATTTCTCCATCCAAGTGATAAACTGCCTTATAAGATGCTAAATTTTCTATAGCAAGTTTCGTTTATTATTATTTAAGTAGACAGGGATTAACTGTATAATATTATTCCTTAACATTGTATTGCTCTTTGAAGTACAAACAGTTTCACTACAACTCGATGGTTACTATCTGTTTCTCATACTTCCATGCAAAACAATTGTGAAAATTTTGACCATTGTAATTTCTACAGACATTTCGAATAGGAAAATTTAAATTCCACAAATAATTTCCGTGTAAATTTGGAACGTGGATAACACAGTATTCTGGAGAAAATTCACGTAATCCGATTGAGGATGAAGCCATTACTATGCTCTCGGATGATAAAGAACTGCAGTGATAAGTCAATCCATGACTACTTCAAAACGTCCTCCACTGTGCAGGAAAAATGTCGTAAGCGGAGAGTTTCAGGGATGTTGTAGGCTTTAAGTGATTTTAAAATTAAGGGGTTTCAACGTTTGTTCGACAAATAATTTGGTGTTAATTAGTGAAAGCATTTATCTAGGAATGTACACCAATATCCACAGACTTTTAAAAGCAAGTTGATAAACCTCAAGAAAAGCAACAAAATAATTGGCAACTATTTACCTCCGTGGCTGCTTCAAGTAGAGCGCCATATTTAAGAAGAACTGAAGCCATTTCAACTCGTGACTTTTTGCATGCGATATGAAGTGCAGTAAACCCATTCTGTATAAATAGCAAAACAAAATGTAGGAACTCTAAACAACAAACATAGATAAATAGTTTAAAGGGGGAAACTACATATCTCTTTCAGAATAAGGCTAGAAAACTAGTTATCGTTCATCTGGGTAAATTTAAGAAGGGATCCTTTTGTTAGCCCTGCTACGTGGCTTTCTCGGAATATTAAATGGTATGAATAAAAGCTAAAATAAACAGCTACTCACTGAGACAACCTATTGAAATTCTCATTCATTAGGTTGTTATTATTATTAATGTTGTATATATGTATCGATTGTATTTGACCTGGATACAAAATGGTTATGAAAGCTGAGAGTGGACAGTTTGAGGTTTCCAACGTCAATCATTATTTCTTTGACCATTTTCACGTTTAATGATTTATAATAAACAGCCTAAGTTGGAGATAATTATAAAATGATTTTCCACAGTTAAATAAGCTGTTTGAAAATCCTAGAGGTACTGAAAACACAGAAAAATGGATGAAGAATATTCTTTCCAACAAATTCTCTTCAAGCTACGTAGTTATACATATATCCAAATCAATCAAACAAAAAATTACCGAGTTTAAGGCAAATACATCTTTTGAAACTATGAAATGTGAATTTAGGATCGTTCGGAAAAGAAAATAAACTGATTAAGGCTGAAATGACTAGCATGTATTGTTAACTAAAATCAGTATATAAGTCAAGTGGATTTGTGAGATTATTAGTTAGAATAAATATGGATAACAAGAAGTGAGAGAAATAATAATGTAGGTATAAATTGCATTAGATGTTTTATGGAAGATAACTTAGTGCATGAAATGGTAGGAATTAAGTAGGAAACAATAAAATGGGGTTAATCCTAACTAGTTTCTCCATGTGCTTACAAGACTAATAATAATAATAATGATAGTAACGCAAGGTCATGTGAAATAATAATAATACTGGTAGTAATAATAACAATTACAGTAACAATATTCGAATAACAGGAATTCGAAATATGAAAATACAAAAGGGGAAGACCGAATGTATATTGGTGAAACTGATACGACCACTGGCCTATTGGGCCTGAGATGGGTCAGGGTAAAAGAAGAGACTGAATAAATTTGTTTTGTACACGAAGCTTCGGTCTTTCAATCTGAATAACTAGTGCTTCCATCATCCTAATAACTTTGTTTGACGTTTTTGGCATACAATTGCCAATGCGATAAACTGCCAAAATGATTATGTTGACATTGCATAAACTATTGCATAGATTCGCCTTTCCATTCTGTTTGTCATTATAAAATTTATAACTGATGTCAAATTTCATACTTTTTTCACTTTTGATTATTGTGCCTCGTTTGTTTTCTATTTCATTATTATGTATTTTGAATATAATTTAAGTATCACCGTGGGCTTCAGTGTTTTTTTAACGCTAATAATCCAAACATTCACAAGGCTACTAAGCGAATATTCATTGGAGCGATTTTGGAAGACTTGTGATTGTATCACTCGTTGCTATATCGTGATAAAGAGGAGTTCTTCAACTAAAATCTAAGTTCAACTTCAAAGTCAGTTTCATAATTTGTCAGTCATAAGCATTTTCCCGTACATATAACCCTCTAGATCACTCTCCAGCCTTTATAGTACACAGTTTAGTTTACAAATGAACTAAATCATTATCTTCAGCAGCTGGACTAATCTGGATATTTATTTTTGCCTTTCTGATAAGCCTTCAAGTGATAAATTTGTTCACGTTCTTATTTTAGTATAAGTAAATTTTTACTTTACCAGTTATTGCTTTAGTTGACTTACCAGGGCTCTCGCATTAACATTACAATGGGAATTCAATAAAGCACGAGCCACGTCCAAGTTACCGCAATGGGCTGCAACATGTAGAGGGGTGAGATAATCCTATGAGACGAAAAGACAGAGATAATTTAAATGGTTTGACAAATAGTTAAGTTTTTATGCTTTGTATTCTCGGTAGTATGCTCATTTACGGTTAATTATTAATGGGTCATAAGTAAACTCGTTGTTAACGAGTGTTGTAGTTGAATTATTGGTTCACACTTGGTTAATATTAAATAAAACATTAATCGAAACGAATTTTTATAAGATTTTTGCAATTTCTATTGATAATTATCGCTACCTCCAACTCAAACAGTATGTGAACTACATAATTCTTGGTAGCAAAGGTTGTTCACCATTCTCTTCTCATAACTTGGAAATTCAGAAGACTTTAATGATTTGTACATCGGTTGTCAAAGAATGCAACGAAAATTTGTTGGTAAATTGACGATACTATGAATGAATGTTGTTCAGATGACTAAAGTAAGATATAAATATCAGTTAATAAATCCTTTTTATGTTAGACATACTGCTGATGATAACAGGTGACCATCGTACATAAACGCAATTAAATTCAATTTATGACGATACTTAGTTGTTTAGGTACCAGTAGATGCTTTAGAAACAGACAATAACAGGTGCAGTGCTTAACCATTAGACAATAACGATTATAAGGGTTTGGTATAAACCTTTCAAGTTTTCTTATTTTGTATATTTCCAAATGAAAAAACAAAATGACGAATTAAGAATATTTTTTGAAGAGTACTTTTCTTCACAGTGTAATAATGTTTCTTCAGCCACAGATTTCTTTAAGACTTTTCACGAAACATGACATCGAAGGCCAAGATCCCTCGAGGATACTGATTTATAACGCAAGATTCTAACAATGAGTTTGACTTGAAGATTGTCTCTATTCTGAGACAATGATTGAAAGGTTCCATGTCTAGTTATTTCTGACGTCAAACAAGTTTACTTTTGTTATTTGAGTGGAAATAATATTATTTAAAGTTTGTTTTACAAGTATTTGTATAAAATCTGCTTTCAAAACAAATGACGTCCTTTAGAGAGAAAAGTAATCGATAAATCAAGACTAAGATGAAGGAATATTTAAGTAGGTTGTTTCTAATTGGTAGAAGCATGCTATACTATCAAAATATCGGTAAAAGTAATTATAAGTTGTTATGGTAACACAAATTATTATTAGAAGCAACACTAATTCAACGTTTTCTTTGGTCTCAATGTAGTATGCCTTAAATATTATTTGTAACTTACAATGGTCACATCATCCGGATTAGAACCATTCCGCAATAGTAATCGTACAACACTTTCATTAGCACCTTGTGCAGCTAAATGCAATGGTGTCAAGTCATTCTGTCAAGAAAAATGTACAGAAACATGAAATAGAATTACTTATTCAAATGTTGAAACATTTATCCTAAGAATATTAAGTATTGAATTATTTTTTATAGTTTCTTCACTTCTTAAAATTTATTAACTACCTCATCTAAATATCACAAAGAAGAAAGGTATTTTATATACTCTAGTCACAACAATGATCATTCTATGTATCATCTTTATAAAAGATTAATAATAAAAGTGTGGGAATTATTAGTACCACTTATTCAACTATTTTCCAAGATTAAAAATGAACATGTCAGATTTAACTTTACAAATTTTGGAAAGAAAGCGTGCGAATCTCGTCAGTATTTCTACTGTGAAAACTTTACTAAAAACTGATAATTAGATAGTCCACATCTCAATGAACATTTGTATTGTTTTGATATAAAGTAAATAATTAAAGATAAGGTTATGAATAACTTGTGATTGGTATTGAGTGATAGGGTCTTGATGTATAGAAAACTTGTAAATCTGTTTGAAGATCTAGTTTGATAAAATCTTAGGGTAAACAAATTACACAACAGTCATTTCTTTTCATGTTACTCTGATCTTGTATAACACTAAATATTGTCAGAATATTTCTCCAATTGTCACGAAATGTGTTTGCCAGATAACGGTCAAACGCCATATTTTATTGAGATGAGTAAAATAATTTGACCTCCTAATCTCAATAAAAATTTCTGATGTATATTTCTAGTGTCGGATATCAGTTCAGCTCCTCTAAATGTTTGCGAAAATCCCGAATGCATTTGAAGTTTGATGGTGGCTTAATAGGTAATATATCAGACTTTTAAACATAAAATTGCAGTCTTCTACCCTAGAAATGTAAGTTACTTATCCAATTATTCAAAGAAGTTATTTTATAATATCCAATATAGTGATCTGTTAAGTCGTTAGTCAACAAATTGACACGACCAGCCAGTCTTATCATAATTTACAGACTGTCTTAATCAAAATACAATAAATTATATATAGGTTTCATATAACTTCGGTTTAAAAAATAACCTTATCAATGTGAATGACTACTCTACTCCAATCATTACTTTTTAAATAAAGTACATTTTGTTAAAGATATGATTCCCTGTTAGCATCAGATGACATACTTAATATATGCTAAGGTTAAAGGTTATGTCTAACCTCAAACAACTGACAGTACGACTTGTCATATTTATTCAGTATTCACATTATTTTCTATAAACTATATACTAATTAAATTGTACATCATAGAAAAAGTGTGGCAAGTACCTTTGTTTTCAAAGTGTGATCAGCTCCATTTTTCAATAAATATTCCACCGTAGCAGTTTGACCCACACGAGATGCACAGTGTAGAGGTGTTAGTCCATCTCGCGTACGACTATTTACTTCAGCTCCTGCTAGTATCAATTCGCTTAGAACTTCGTTCTTTCCCGATTTAGCAGCTACATGTAACGGTGTTATACAATTCTGTTCCATCATATATAGAAAGAAATCAAAATTATGATTAATACTTCATATATGGGACATCGTTTATGTAAAACGGACATATTTAGATAAAATCTTCCTTTCGTTTCATTACACAGACGTTAGCATGATTTTTTCCCAGGGATTTGAAGGAAATTGACTCATATTAATAAATTTTTCAATTACTATGTTACCAGCTTACGTCAATTCCATAGTAAAAACTCAAATGAGAAATCCTTCAACCATAGTTTCCAGTCAAGTGAAATGTAAATGATTTGGAGGTTATCCAAGACATTTATGGATATAATTACAAAAGAAGCAGGGAAGTTGAAACTACCTTAACCCTACAAATATGACTGACAAAATGGATTATAAGACAAGACGCTAAGACGTAAGTATAATTATTAGACTATATATACCACATAAATAACATTTGTGTCACAGTACCGGAGACTAAGAATCCATATCATCAATCACTGAGGTTGAGGAAGTGCACATATTTTCTTTGTTACAGATGCACCGTGTGAATTATCAATACGAATTATGAAGATCAGTTGTCTCAGGTTCTGAATACTAATCTAGATTGGCAAAGATTCATAGAAATTCATAGGTCATCTATTTAAACAAAACGTTCTTACTTACTATGTTACTTCCACAGTTCTTAATGTCTTCTATATAAGGTGAGAGATAAAACTGAAGTTCTACAGTATAGTAATTTTATCAATTTGACCTATAATTCACTGGTGACTGGTTATATTTAGAATAATTACTAACAATATTTCTTTCATTCTTGAGTACCTATTATCAAAATTCATTAGTGACTATGTCATATGTTGTAAAACTCATTCAGACAAAACTGAAGAATATATTTTCCTTACGTAAGTTAAGTAACAGATTTTAAAAAACCTATTTTACTTACATGTGCAATCTGCTAATAAAAATGAGTTTGATCCCAAGTGAAATAAATTCCTTTTTGTCATTAATTGAAATTATGACTGTAGGACTTGACAATAATCCATTGAAAAGCGTATTTTTCTTTTTTTATAGGCAGTTCAACATAGTGATAATTTTTAAAAATTAGTTAATCTAGTTTTAAAATGCAACCATCTTTAGAAATAATTTTATCATTGTATTCCCTGAAATAGATAATATATTTCTCAGATAACTAACGACTAATAGGTTTTTAACTTGCGTTCCTAAAGTTTTCAGCATCATAAATTGAGAATACCAAACTCTTTTGAGTTCATAACCTAGCCATAATCCATTCTTGTCCTAACTACTCTTTTGGTTCAATACTATATATATACATGAATAACTGAAATGTCATTGAGATCAAACTTATCAACTGGTCAGTACTGATCTGATTATATATTATCTCTGAAACTAATTGATTCTTTAACAAGATACTGGATCGAGTAATGATAAAAACGGGACTTACTTTTGCCTGGTAATTAATATTCGCTCCTTTCTCAATCAACAACTTAGCTATATTAACATTCCCATAGTGAGCGGCAATGTGTAAAGGAGTAAATCCACTCTGTAAAAGTATAATGACACCACAAAATTAGCAAGTTAACGTGCTATACTGCCATGAAACAAATGACGAATGAAAAACTATATAAGTAATAACTTCAATGAATATCATAAATGTGTATATAACAAGGTTCTAGTTTTAATTTTATATATGGTTTGATTAACTTAAACCATTTCAACTTTAAAACCTCTCGATGCAATCTTAATTAATGCAGTTATATGTGAGTCATAGGCAGACATTTTTCAGCATATTTATTAAGGGCATTACAGGAAGTAATACAATCTAAAGAAATAAGGTTGACATCCATGACTGAAAAAATATTATGTATATTCTGTAGTCACATTACGCAATTCCGTCCAAAATATTTATCGAGAATATGTAAGAAAGCCTTTTAAATCAATGCTTTAGGTTTTTAGGTGATATCCTCATGAGATTCTATCATATAACAGTGGTATTTATGATAAGAAAGAAATTAAACTGAAAATAAGCGTTCGAACACATTCTTTGAAGGTAGCGATCCAGAAATGAAGCTTTGTTAATACGTTTCGACATGTTTAGTTCTATTTTCAGGGGGCTAACTTTTCGATGTACTTCGTATTCGCTGTGGATTTATGTAGATACAACGAAGAAACTGTGCTGTATAATTTAGTGCATTACGAAAAATTCAAAATGTTTAATTCGTCACTCATTGTTTTGTACGACTTCATTTAACAGTCCTATTCATATTTGATTAAATTAATATTTATCAGAGTGGTACGGTTACTGATTAGTCCATAGTTATACGATTATTCCTCTTCAATAAATAAACTCAAAATAATATCCATCACAGGAAACTTTATTATAATATTGATAACGCAGTCAAAATCATCCTTATTTGGTGTGTAAAACAATATGTAGTATCTGCAAAAAGCACTCACAGCCGATGTGTGATCCACATTTATTTCGCTGTTATTGAGTAACAATTTAGCAGCATGAACATCATCTTTCTTCGCAGCAATATGTAGGGCGGGTAAGCGACTTTTTCCGCGAGAATCCCTTTCCAGTAGCAGACTTATAACACGATCATGTCCTTGCTGTAGTGCTACTGCAAGTGGTGTGAAACCATCCTGAATAAAGCAAATAGGGAAACATGATATAGTAAATAAGCATTAATTTGTGAATCTCAGTCTATAGAAAATACAAAACGGAAACATTTTAGTTTAAATTTGAGGTTATACAGAATTAGTGATATCGACAAAAAAACTTCTTCACCAAACAAAATGATAAATGTATCTGTACTGTTATAAGAGAAGTACTACCAGAAAGATTGTTCCACATTGTTTCTTCATTATTAGCTTATTTGAAAATAAACTGTAATTACTTTCGTATTCTTATTTGATCAGTTTACTTTCATGATTCAAAACAGCGAGTTTATTTCGGTAATATTTAAAATAGGTTAAGTAGATTTCAATGTCGCTTGCTGCATGAACCTTATTCATTGAAACTTGCTATACAACCATTGTGTCACAAAATTTATGACGCTAGATTTTTATGTCTAAAAACCTATCTTAATGCCCTTCATAATTTTATCTTGTTAAATATTCATACATTAAACCTATAAACGATTCTTATTATTCTTTAACATGTACTACCTTTCACTAATCTACTTTTGTATCATATCCAACATTGATTAAGAGTTATTTTATTTCTTCTATTGATTTTTCCTAATTGTTGCATTCGGAAACGCTTACTTACAAGCGGCTTGGGAGGCATCGGTAAGATAATTAGTTTTATCTTCACAAGGGTGTAATGTAAGAATGTACGCAAAAGGAGTTCATAAAAACAGGATATGTTATGTATGATTGATTAAATCTGTTTAGTTTATAAATTAAAACAAGTGAATAAACCCAGACAAGCCAATCACTTATGGGTTATCATATACCTAATCCTTATTGATGACCAAAATAAATTTCAAAATAGCCGTGAATATGTTGCAGATAGGATGTACCTCTCGTTAACTTTTTCAAATGTCTAGATTCTAAAAATGGGTATTATGCTTTCAATGACTCGGGAACTTTAAACAGTTCATATGAGAAATAAATGAAAAATTTTGAATTCCTGAACTTCATACTTTACATACACTGCTGTTTTGCTTTGAGCAGCAAACTAGGATGGTATTTGACAAACATTTCCAAAATAAATAGACACTAGTAATCTGGTAACGTATTTGCTCAACCTTCATTTTCATTGTGATAACTACTAAGACGTCTACAGTGTTACTATCATCATATTAGGGTTAAGTATGGATTTAATGCCCATAATAACCGAATTATTGTAATCCATAGCTGAGTGTCAACAACAAGCTTACATAAGGGTTCAGTTTTACATTGTAAAATATTCCTCAGTTGTGTTGTAAAGAAAGACCTTAACTGACTTTCTGTATTATGACTGATGTCAAAAGGATTGTTCCTCTTTATTTGTCTAAATAAAATATCAATTCCGGATACTAAGGGGTACTTTAACGGGGCTGAGTAACTGATTATAGCAACTGATGAAGCTAATGTAATCGAAAACTGAGTAATTACATTAACAAGACCACTAATAAACTAATAAAAGCAGGGCAATTAATAAAACAAAACTAATAGTAAATAAAATCTAATAAACTTGTACTCCGTCAATTTTATGGTATACCAAAATCCCATAAACCGAGAATTTTACTAAGATCGTTACCTCACTTCCAAAAAATCCTACATGCGATCTATGGAGAGATACTTCAGAAACATTTAAACAGCTAATGGAGTTATCTGATTTCCTCAGAAAGTATATAATTCTGTTTTTCGATACGGTCGAATATATTCAAATTCTTTGTTGTTATACCCTTAATTCTGTCAGTTGAACTAAAGTTATAAAAAAAACACTTTATCCCTGATCCCGATAAAGAATACAAATATTTTAAAACAAATCAAGCTTTGAAGTTAAGATGGTGACATTTAGGTGTAGATTTTCAAATCTAATAATCTTATAAATAAAACCTAATCGCAAGGTAATATATGGTCACAGAAAGTATACTTGTTGCTTCATACATTGCGAGTAGTTTATTTTAATGGAAACTACATCAGATTATGTTGTTAAATGGTGATGCCAACCATTTCGAATTCTACTTACCAGAAGGCGTTGCTTATATTACCCGTTATGTTAGAATAGTTTACTTTTTAGCCAAAAATATGATTATTTAATGTTCCTAAGGCAGGAACCTAAATGGAGTTATCTCAACTAGATATTTTTATAAATCACTGTCCCGATTTCCAGTAAATGTCTATTTTATGGAAACCTTAGATTATACACTAATTTTTAGTCACTATAATTCGTAATGCAATTATTAATAAATTAAACAGTAGTTTTTATGAGACATGAATTTTGTTTGCCCTCAGTTAAAAGCTTGTCTGTAGACAGTTTTTACTCAGTTTATAAATTATGTCACACAAAGTTAATTAGCACACCATCATTGATTTTACTCAATGGTCTATAGTTAAAATGTATAATGAATTCATTTTTAAAAAACTGGAAATAACACACAACTGGTAATGGAAAGGTTTACACAAAACCATTTGAACATCAAATATTTGATATCATTGTATGTAATGAAATAACTTTCCTTAAAAGGATAATCAAAACAGATTACTCTGTAGATAGGAGATAACTTTCAAACCTTTTCTTTTATTAAAGGAAAGCTAATATTAAGAAATTCATAGGAACGAAAAATAAAAATGCAGTATCATTAAATAACGATATAACCCGTTGGTTATTCTGTTAAACTAACCAACGCTTTTCATAGACACTTGTAAAATAACGATTATTTAACTGTAAGGCTTTTGAGTAGTAGATATTATTTTGAAACAGTAAAAAATGATTAGAATAAATGCCAAGTATTGACACACAGTTTAAGTTTTGTTAATCAAGATTTTCTTATGATATAAACCACTAAATTACATTTAACATTTTCAATGAATACTATGACAAGTAATCAGTTAACCTGATTCATACATTCATCACATGGATTTATTTAGAATAAGCATTTTGAAATTCTTCTAATACTTGAAAAATTGTTTTATTAACACGTGATCAATAATTGACGGAAACTCCAGGAGAATATCTCTGAAGTTAAGAAATATTGATAAATGTGGGGGAACCATTTACTCATGCCTACGACTCAACAAAAATCGGTTTATTGATGATTTCTCCTATTTATTTGTTGCTTTTGTGATTAGAAAGCGGTTGAAATTAGTTTCCTTAATAATTCATTAAGAATAAACTTCGCCGGTAGGATTTGATTATGAAGGATGACAGACAGAATTCACTCATCGATTCGTAAAACAAAAAACAATTACAAGAGTAGAATGACCCAGTACATTTTAGATTTACCATATAAAACAATGAATAAATCAAGCTTAAAAAGAATCACATTCATTTTAAAGATGATGGTTTATTTTTAAAGAGCTACAATGAATGTTAATGGCAATAATGGAACCTAATTATTCGCAACATATCATAAGGGCAAGCAGATCTACATGAGTCCCCGAACCATTTTTTTCTTAGGACTAAGGAGAACGGTTATTTATTGTCTGAATAAATAAGTAGTACATCAGAGTCCTTCTGATTTGAAGTCTCAACTTTATACGTCTAAGTAAGCATGATTGGGATCATCATTTGAAACTAGTAGCCGGAGTCTCTTCATAGATGAATTCTAATGAGTATTAAAGTCACTTGAGGACACCCTCGGAAACGCTTACAAATAAAGGTTTGGTTCGAAAATTAATGGAAAACCACCAAAAATGTATGTGTGAGAAATATTATAGATACTATGTTACTTGATACAAATTCAAATAATTTTGCAACCAGTTAGCAAATCTGTATTTTTTGAAGTGCTGTGTTTTCTTAGCCATATGATTTATTTGAAAAACATTCACTGATATCTACATGAAGTAGGGGCTAAAAATGTTTATCAGAACGACAATGAATGTTTCCACTAAAATCACTGAGCTCTGATAACACACTACCATCAAGAGCATTCAATTAAACTCCAAATATTCTCCATAATTTCATATCTTTAATTCTTTAGTAAAATAATGCAATGCTAATTTATTAGTCAGTCAGTCAGTCAGTAACAACGTAGAACTTCGTACGTACGTACATCAGTTCGAGTTGCCACACCACATTAGCACAGAGATGCAGTGGTCGATTCAAATCCCGTAGTGGTAGAGGTAATAAGAGTATAAGCAGTAATCAGGAAAATTAGTGTTTGGAGATGTTATTTAAAGAGTATAATTTATTAAAAGTAAATACAAACGGTTTTAATTAAACGTGATTAAACCAACCTCCGTTGATAAAGCCTGATTAGCAGATTTGTCCAGAAGGTACTGAACAACTTCAACATGGTTTTCTTGAGCCGACATGTAAAGAGGTGTAAATCCGTTCTGAATGAAAAGAAATTCAAATCGACTCAATCTTATGCATTAAACAACATTTTCATAAACAAGATGTCATTTTACATAAATTACACCGCCTCAGTTTCATTTTTACAAATATTAGGCATTGAAGATCATTAATTGTAGTCCACCAGTGAATAACATATAATTAATTAGCGTACGGATGTCAATTACTCAATTAAGTATTCTTTTTCTATGTAATAACATCAGCACGAAATCACTGTGTTAGTCCATTTATCCAGTTCTCATAAAATCAATAAATTACACCGCTTACAGACACAACTGTCACCTGAAATGATTTCTTTTCATAAGTTTCTCCCATTGCTTATATTGTTTTCTTCGATTTCACTTCCTCCTTAAGTCTTTGTAGTTCATCCCTTCTTTTCCCAAACAGTAAGAACAACCAATACGTAGGATAATTTGTTGATGATAATTATTAAAAAACCTTATTTAGTTTACGATTTGTATCCAATCCCAACACAGTAAAATATCAGAAACACTAAAAACATAAAGAAAACTCATTTTTCATTGGCTTGCTATCCTTGATACACAATTATCTGTTACAGCTAACAAACAGGAAGTAATCTCTGAATTCCAATTGTTTCTATATCACAACTAAATGGAAGAATAAGCATCAAAGTGTTCACTGTTGAAAAACATACTTTGCATATGCAGCATGATTTGAGTGTAATACTAAGGATTTTCGAGATGATGATTATTTTGCTTCTTAAGGGGTGGAGGCGATGTCATAGTGACTAAGAAATGAAGAGTGGTCTTGGTTAAATGGCTTGCAAGTAATCTCTAATATAGTAATAATTGAACAGAAATTTTGAAAATCTGGCTACCAGCTAATCTGATGTACAAAAATGGAGCATTTGCATAGCGTGGGAAACCTTTTTACGCTTAGACGACGCTTTGTAAACTGTAAATATCCAAGGCAAAGTATATAAAATGTTAAAAATCGGCAGTTAGTGATCCACTATCTACGTTAGATGGGTTTATGCGTATCAAACTTGTATTAAATAATCATTTTTGATATCTGAGCATTGCTTTTGAACTTATGATCTTGTTTTGCACTTCGATATATTTCTTTTAAGTGTTCTTTGCAGTTAGAAAATTAGCATCCTGAATTAATGCATATTTGTCTACTGGATCTATTTGTGATAAGTAGATGTATTTGTTCATTACTCTGTGTTAAATAAATGGAGTTTATTGACCAATTTTAGTATATGCCGGGTAACATATAGTCCTACACTGACGGTTCGAATCTTAGTGGTGGTTCTCCACGTCACAAAACAGGTGAAGTTTTTTAAGACATTCTATTCATAAAATCCTTGAAATTGTGTTGTGTAAAAGAAATGATACTAAATGTCTCTTTCTTCCTATTTTAAGAAGTTGTTGTTCATCATTTTTCAAACTTTTTCAAAGTTATGTCACAGAAGAAAATGGTCATTTTTGGTTAATTTGAGTGTGATTCGAATTATTTAAGTTTTCAACAACCCCCACAAGTCCCAATTAGCCTAACTGTGTTTCATTAATAAAATTATTACCATACAAACTACCGTCAGTATGATAAACACAGAAGCGAATAGGCTATGTTCTACAAATACTAGCCATACGACTGTCTTTAAAAAAATTAGTCCCTCTAGATCGTCCAAAGAGAATACTACATGATGGATTAACACAATATATTTCGAACTCTCTGATTACAAATATACCTTTTAAGACACTTAAAGTTAAAAATTACTCTTTTTGTTATATCCCGACGAGAATATTGAATGGTAACTGTTGGGATCCATTTATGAACAGTTACTATACATATATTTTTGTTGTATAATTTTTAAGTACTGAAACTATCCATATTCATGTTTCTCTTATTATAAGCGTTATTTTGACCCATAAACTTTTATTAAATGGTTTACCGTTCTGCAGTTATACCCGGTCTATTAATTACAGTCTCCCACATTCACAGCCACTTTTGGCTAGATCTTGTACAAATGTTGTTTGCCATTTTGTGGTGTGATGTGGTCTGTTTGGTTTGCATATAAACCCAATATGCTTGAAACACATGATTCATATCTCAGAGGCTGAGATTTGTGTTCTGGACTCAACAGGCAGGGCAAGGCAGGAAGAAGGACCGACAAGTACTCTAGACTGCTCGTACGGGTTTACGCGTCATTTGTCCGGTCGATAAATCACTGTTCTCTAATTAGAAGTATCATTATGTTATATATTAATTGGGCACAAAGCCACAAGTTACAACATTTTTGTAATTACATAAAAACACAGTTATGATTTTCAGATACCTATTCAATGAATGACATAAATTATTTACCTTCAGCTTTAAAAGGGACGTCTGTCATCTAAGACTAGAATATACATTAATGACAAGATTACCCAACTTCGCATGAGGCCGGGATATTTCAAGATTTATAAAGATGATGTGTCCTGACATGCACTTTTGAATGGAACTAGCCTATCAAGCATAAAAGCTAACCTTGGGTACTTAAAACAAATTAAATACATATCCTCTGATGACCTACTGAAGTAAATATTTTACGTACTGCTACCATATAAAGCCGCATTTAAACTATTTTACTGAACTTCTTACTTGAGACTGCGCATTTATATCAGCCCCATGGTCAACTAACAATTTTACGATCTCTAGATGTCCTGCAAGGCTAGCAATATGTAAAGCAGAGTTGCCTTTTCTTGTGATCATATAAACTGACGCGCCATGTGATAATAATTCCTTTACAACGTCAGTTCGGCCTTCTTTACACGCTAAATGTAGCGCATTCAGTCCGTTCTGTAAAAAATAGAAATACAAAAGATAAATATGAAGGTTAAAAGTCTGATAATGAGAATAAAATACATACAAAACATTTTATGGTCAATGTTATTCTACTGTTTCAAGATGACACGTTAGTGCTGGTTATTCACACCATAGAGGTAATATTTACCAACCTCAATGTGGCAACACAAATAATGCGAGGATTTATATCGACTTATCAGAATTAACGAACATCATTTGCTTGTTAACTCTTTCTTTTAATTGTTTGGACATTCTGACCAAATAAACGAATTGAAGAACTAATATTCTAAGGTTATGATTGAATTTTTTATGAAAACCTCATTAAACTGTTTTTCTACTTATTTTTCTTCGTATTATTGTGTGCTGTTTGTTTTCTATCAAACCTAAGGTTGTAAAATAGAGGTTTCAAAGTAACTGGGGTGAAATGTTTCATACATGCTACATACGGTATTCAGGTCATACCAAATAAAGGATTTGAAGATAGTTTTCACTGAAAACTAATGTCGTCGAAAGAGCAGCTGAAAACTGGGAGGCACTAGTTATTGCCTTATTCTGGTTTGTGGCATCTCAGTAGTGTGATCAATGCATTCAAAACAAAATACCCTAAGTGAAGTATCAGAGAGGAGTGCATTACTATATAACTATTCAGTCAGGATTCAGTGGTTGAAAGGTTCCAAGCTCTAGATATATAACACATCATTGACATTTTTTTCTCACTTCTGGTTTGGCTGGTTTATATGACTCATCATTCTATGAAGATTGTCTAATATTCATTTTAAAGTAATTCATTGGTGAACAAAGGGGTAACAAAAAATCCAGTTTTCAGTTTGAATTCTAAGTGAATATAATGTAATCAAAACAATTTCCTTATATTCATTAATACAAAAGTCAAACCAGAAACCATATAATCAATGAGGCAAAAAATATAGCTCTAAATTTAGCTTCCGTAATTTCAAAGTATAAAAAACATAAGAAACATTTATATAAGCATATATGCTTATCCTTACGTCGCTATGGTAATAGTTTGAAAGTCATGATTTTCTAACCAATAAAAAGTTTTAAACAGAGATAATGTTTGAGTTTCAGAAATGAGGAAGGTATTTTGATTCATTTTGAAGCATATTTTTCAAAATGTTTCTCTATGCCAAAAGATCTATTTCTCAGCAGGTAGCATAAACCAAAAGACACCATAAACACTCAACATAGCCAGTCTATTGGAACGTCTCTGTATTGGTAGCTAATTCATTTTTGTAAACATATACCGTTTGAAATTCTAAAATTCATGACTAAGCTGTAAATGTTTCGACTAAGTTCGAAAAGGGTATTCCAACTACAACTACTTTTGACTGATTAGGTTAATCAAGTTTTACAGGTTTTACAGTAGACGTTGCATATACTGTTTAATTCCACAGGCAATAGTTTCCGATTGTAACCTCAAAATTTCTCTCTCCTAGCTAATTACTAATTAACATATGATTATTATTTAATAAGGTTTGCGGAAATTATATCAAATCTCACATTGTTACTGTCCTGTCAAAGACAGGAACTACCGGATTTCCAATAAGTAGCTCAATGCTTTTGCGCTTTCCACAATACCTGAATATCTTGCTCTCGATACCGCATGGGACTGTGGGTACTTGTTTGCGAGGAGTCCTGACTACTGATTTATAATCATTCATTCTTCATTTGTCTACAATCCGTGATTAAAATGTGCCTTCCGGAATAGAATTTTTTTCAAAAGTCAGTCAATCTAAAACTTAGATTCTGAGCTTGTAGCTATCAGTGTTTAGACTCGATGGATGGAGTCTAGTAAGCTAAACAGATAAGCAGAATACACTGACTTTGAAGATTATAATTACCTTAGTTGTCAATTTTATAGTTATCGACACATAGACAGCTTTATCATAGAGATACTTGTCTATTAAGATTCTTTCACTGATGAGTACATCAGAGAGAATCAGAGTACGTTTACTTTACTCTCATTATAACAATTTCTGAAGTACCTAATCTTGTGTGTTCAAGTTAGTGATTCGCCACTTATTCTTTATATTGGTATGTCTCATATTTCCAAGAACTGTATACCACCAAACAAGCTATACATTCATCACTTTTAAATATAATATATAGTGATAATTTTTCTAAATTATTCCATTTCGTCCTGTTTCATGAGACTTTGCGCAACAAATTGAATGAATACCTTTGTATATCTGGCTCAATCCTCATAAGAAATTCCCTTCTTGAAACTTGAATTCGAACTGCCTTCTGAACCGATTTGTTTTCTTTGTGATTTAATGAAGTCGTTGAAAAAACAAGTATGTTTATCTGTAGTGAATTTACAAAGTCTTAATTAAACACTTTGGGGTTAATAAAACCAAAGGTTTTATCGACTTTTAATCCTTAGAAATTTTTTTCTATTGAGATGGGTTGTGTTTTTTCATTTAATAAAATTCGTCAGTTTATAGGTTCATTCTACGGCCGCTTCATTTGGTCGCGACACTCGCCTGATTTCATTTGTACATTTAGAATAAGCCGAAAACCCTTTAAGAGTATTTTTAAGCGTTCATACCAAAATAATAATCCACTAAAATCAAAAGGTGAACTTGAATATAGCCTTAGGTCATTTTTGAAAAATTCTGGCAACTTAAAGCTAGCACAATATATTACCTTCCTAATCAGACTGCAAAGCACTTGCCATTAAAATGGCTGTCACGATTTTTCATTTCTTAGAAGAACCGACTTCAAAATATGAATATTTATTCAGTTTCAGTCACTAGCAGCTAGTTTGAAGAACGGTCCACATATTGCCAAAAAACAGGTTTCTTATGTTTGAATATTGTTTTAATCACTAGTACATACCATCTGGAGAACCACTAAATTCTTATAAATAGGTCAAAAAATGATTCTGATTCCAAACATGGCTTAGACTGAATGTGTTGCCATGGTTATGTTATGAGATGATCCTTATCATTCACTAGAAGAATCAATTTGTGTCATAATGTTTTATAAGTTACCCGTACAATCGGATTAAAAAGAAGAAAAGGATTTTCTGTATCCATTGTTGTCTTTTTTGTAAATTTTCTTTAAGGCCGGAAATAATTGCTTTTCAGTCCGCCTTTTAAGAAGGGCAGATGGCAATCAAAGAATACCTACAGCATTAGAAACAAAAAATGCATTATAGATGATTTCAAACTATTCATGAGTCCGGTAGTAATGTACCCGCCACAGTTTTATTGTTTCGAACTCAGGTTGGCTGGTTATTAATCGTTTTATAATTATTATATTTATCTACTAAATACACTGCCATAGCATTGTGGGAATTCCATAAATTCTACTGGTTAATAATCTTTTATCTGTATACTGAAGATATAAAAGGAACTTAAAGAAACTTTGGGTGGTCAAGTTACATTTAGAAATTAAGATCACAGATTATCTATAAATTCGCATAATATTTTATTATGTATATCGAAAATTCCTATACTTTTTGGTGTATGATTCATATTGTTCGATGACTTTGTTTTAAAATGTTGGTTAGTAGATATGATTATTTTAACAAACGAAACAGTTTTCGAAAGTAGTAAATGCCTTACGTGTGGTTATTTTTTCATATCAGTTTTTAAGTTTTGAGAACATTTTGAATATTTTATTATTTGTAAGATAGTTCTTTTTTATAATCCGTCTGGGTTTTACTAAAAGGTTATGATTAAGAGCTGTTTACATAATATCGGTTAACAACAAAGTAAGATCTCATGTGCACCTTAAGCAATTGAAAAAGTAGTACAATATCTGCATTATAGGAGACTGAAATAATGAATTGTCCAAATATATGGATTTCCATAATAATGAACCAAAGTATTATATCTTGATTACTGGTCTCATCAGTCGCTAGAAAAAGCACCTGATGAGAGGTGGTGGGTTAATTAATTGCTGTATTATTAAAAAGGTACTCATAATACATAAACAGTTTCATTGCTGTTGTTTCCTGTGCAAGCAGGTTAGATGATTTTAGATTAAATATAACTCTACTTATCATAATACAATCTTTGATATATCAAAGAATTTTCACGTTGAATTCTTATATGTCTCCTGGATAAAACGTCCCTTACAACCCACCGTAACTAACGATATATTCTTTTACTATGGTAGAAGCTATAATCAATATGAACAATTTCCTTAATTAGCGACCTATTGGACCTTAGTTTAAAACTTTGTAATAAGTGTCAAACCATAAACAAATATGTTATGCTTGTCATCTACCTATAGGTAGTGGTTCTTTCAGATCATATATGTTGAACCCACTCAGTGAGTAACGTTTTTGAGAATCTCACTTTACATAATGTTTTAGCTTTCAGTTTTCATAGGAATACAATGTTTTTTGCAGATCAGGAAATCTTAGCTAGACCATCATCAAAAACCTGAAATTATTGGACAGCCGTTTCCTTCTAGTATGAAACTCCTCTGTAGTGCACACCTTCGATCCTGCATTCACGGACTGAACCTAAAACCATCGGTCTCGTACGTAGACTATGAAAATACAAAAATTGTTGACCAAATTTTGAACATTTTTGGGGTTACGTTTCTGTTGATCATCTTTGAAGTCGTGCCTCAAGCTGTAATCTACCGATTTAAATACCTTTTATGAAGACTGTCATTATTTTCAGACGCTTTTTGCGCTATTGACAGACTTATTTTATGAATCACGAACTATTATGCATCTCACTATTCTACTAATTAGATTTATTTCATTTAGTAAGAATCTTATAGGGTAGCTGAAAAATGTAGAAATTCCAAGTTCACTGACACACTGTTTATTTGCTTTATACTAATACCATGTCAGAGTTAAAAGAAACGTAAATCTAGGGTACATAGTCTCTGTATAAAATTCATTCATCGAATTCATAGAAAATCTCACATTATATGAATTCATTGAGCACGAGCTAAGTTATTGGTTTAAAAAAATCCTGGATTACAAAGAAGATGTTGAATAAATACACTCATTCTAAGCTCGTTTGTACTTTTGCTAGTTAAAAAATTCTATTTCAATTTAGTGTCTTGTAACGGAGTGTTTTTATTATATAATTTAATGTTCGGATGTAAAAGTAACTCATATAACATATTTTGTGAAAATGTGTTGTGTTAGTAATACTGTTTCATAGTAATCAATTAAGAAGAGTAACACTGATTTTATAGCTTTGCAAGTCAAATATGATTTTAAAAAATCATTTGACATGTGAAAAAGATGAAATTAATAGCCAAGTGAGTGCATCGATAATGCATTCCTTGACTTAGTAAACGGTAAACTTATCAGTTTACAACTTGTAATTTATTTGTTGTATATTAGGTCCCTCCTTGAAACCAGGTCAACGCTAAAACTAATGTTTTTATTGCACACCCCTTGATCTACAAAGCATCACTCGAATAAACTGATTTAGATCAAAACTTACTTGCGTTCTAAAACGTTTACTTTCAGTTTTCGCCTCTTCTGATTTTCACTGTTGTTTTAGAAATTAGCATATACTGAAGTCAAATTGCATCAATTAATAGTGTCCATTTAGTTCTCTGGATACCTAATTGATTATGAGATTTAGTTGATGGACTGGATTATCCTTATAAACATATAACTCTTCAGGGAGAAGTTCACCTATCTAATTGATTGAAAGCGGTTGAAAAATGCCAGAAAGCTTAATTTATTTTAAGAAAGACTAGCCTTCATTTACAACTTAGCGTTTACATTTTCTGCATAACCCTCCTGAAACTTACAAGTACAGCCGTGATGGAAAGTTAGTAAGAAAATCTTCCACGGTAAATACTGTATTCCAAGTGTTAGCTGGAAAATAATGGGTTCACAAAACAAATTAGACAACAATTTTATTTGTTGTTTAACGAATTATCAAATGAAAATTCACTGAAAACAACTCACAGTATTCGAGATGTTGATGTCTGTTATTTTGTTGAGTAATTCACGTAATTTCTCCAAATTTCCTGCCCTAGCTGCTCGTAGAAAACTTTGATTAATATCACCCTGTTTTGACTTTAGGTTACAATTTAGGTGTTTTATTTTTAGGTCGTAATATGATTCATCATAAATACCAGGTTCAATGATTTGTTGATCATCATTTATGTTGTCATTTTCGTTAAATATATTGGCAGTCATTGTTTCGATTTTGTTTTCATTTGATGTAGAGTATTGAGATAATGATATTGATATACATTCATTCCAGGTTTTCATTTTTAATTTTCGTAGAGTGGTTACCGATGTTTGGTCATGATACCATGATTGGATTTCAAGGGATGTTGAAGATGATGAATGAAGCGTTCCGATTGAGAGCGATGATGATATGTCAATGGGTCGAAATGACGATTTGAAATAAAGTTTAGAAGGAAAAAGTCTACAATTAGTACATAATCTGGATTTAGAAAAACAAGCACACAAAGAACAACCATAACGTTTCCTCTTTTTATGCCTGATCATGTTTTATTTTTTGAATGCTATGAAACGACAAAATCCTTATCCTCTTGGTAGGCTGTCAGATTTCATCCATCGGCTACTATTTTGCTTATGTACTGATAAGCAGATGCTTGATTATTTGTGTAGGATCATCGATCTTGGTCTTGTGACATGAGCATTTAAACTAACCTATGGTACATGTATCTCAATGTGTTTTCAACCACTCTAAATGGTATTTTATTCATTGTGCACAGGTGGCTTCTGTTTCTTATATGCTGTTACATCTTTTCACTAGAAAAAGCACACTTACACGCAAGTAACTTGCTTTTTAAAAATGAATGTTAATGTCACCAATTAAAAACTTTTGTTAAATTAACTAATTGGTGATAAATTGAAAATAACTTGAGTAGTATGTTCTTAAGCATCAAATTATAATGTCTTGCCATTTTTTGAAAAAACACTGCTGTTTTTTTAGTGAAACGATGTTTTCATCGCTTAAGCCTTATGTACTGATCTCCCAGCTGGTATCTAGGATTTTTCTTGGATCTATACATTTAGCGAAACATTTAAAAATGTTTTTGTATTAGATAATTTCGTAGACATAGTTCCGTTTGTTAGCTTGAAAAGATTTAGAGGAACAGTTTGAACAGTATATCGTCCGTTCATTTTCCTTCCTTAGATTCTCTTCAACTTCTTACAACCAGTGATTTATCAAAATTACAAAATGTGTATAAAACACTTTAAGAAATGCTTTTAACTTAAGCGAGTGTCAAAATGGTGTTGTGAACATTCAGACAAAGTTAAATGAACAAAATGTTGGAAACAAATCATATGCTATAGATTATTCTGGAATACTGATCAAAATGGTAGCGAAAGATCTTTTGGTTAGAATCAAGTAGACGACGGGAAATTCACGAGAGAAAATAAATTTTCGTAATTTTGCTCAGTATTGGTTTTCTTTACTGTAAGTTAAAAACTCACAAGAAATGTGATAATTGCAACTTTGATCCGTGGGAAATTTGGGATCAGCTTAATTTTGAGTGTTGACCAGATGTAAAATTTCAATGTCTCTACCACAAAATTAAGTGTGATTTAGTTGAAATGAATTCCTAACCACTGAATTTTTTAATGGTTGTACACAAATCTACGTTAATATAAGACTAAGTTATTTTTATATTTACATGTTTCTTTAGTCATACTAAAAGATTCTTATCCTATTTTAGAAAATGACTACGTCAATTTGATAACATTATTACAAAATGACGTCTAAGGTACTTATGATACAAATCGGTAGTGAGTGTAGGAAATCAATGTACAAGGTTTAATCTTGTTCCATTCATACCTTGTCATATAAATGTATTACTCTAATGACTCTCTATAATAGATTGTATATTGTGGTTTGTTAAACAAAGTGATTCAAGAGTAATGTAATTGTTTTTTAAAAGCACGTCAAATTACTCAAACGACAAGAAATACAATAAAACAAATAAATGTATAATTGTTTTTCTTCCATTTCAATTGTGCACAAAAAACGACCTGTAATATTTCAATAACAAAGTGTTTGCTTAGGAAGAGATTTAAAATTTATTATATGAAGACAATTCTTAAGTGAATAAACATATATACATCAGTAAGTCACTCCTCAAAACAATACAAAGTAATGTAACGTATAACTGAAACAGAAGGACCAAACGGACATCTATGTTGATGAAACAATTGGAGTGCGAAGTCAGTATTCAGACTGAATACTGCAGTTTACTTCGATCATCTTAAATTTGCCAGTCAACTGTTGATGGAGCATGAAATGATGAAAATTATTGGTGAATTATTACGTGTACAGATAATAACATGAAATAAATCTCATATTACACTTTTTCCAAGTTGTCTATCAAGCTTCATTTGAACTGACACCAATAGTTATAGTACTACATTATCATTACATGAGATATTATTTTTAATGAGATTTTTTTTAAATGCGTCAAGGTATTAATATAGGGAAATTTATGTGTCGTGTAGATTGCTTAAAATGATATGAAACTTTTGCTAACGAACAAACGGTTATCAGAGCTCGATTGTCAGCGCACACACATGTATATATTGGCACACTTACGTCTCCGCGTTTTCATAACATAGTCAAGATAGCCTGATAAGCAAAACATTGGAACCAGATTTGTCATTGAAAAATTATTCAGCCTGTGATTTATTTATGACTTAAAAGTAACACTATCGCTGATTATTACAAGTAAAAACTGTTTAGGATACCAATCAGTGTTTACTTGTTAAAACCCATTTTGGTCATTTGGCGTGTATAGAATAGTAGCGAGAGTAAAAATGTATCTTTTTGACAAAATGTATCAATAAGAATAGTAAAAATACTAAAATAAATGATTGTAAATAGATAAGTATCATCACTTTTTTACATTTGACATATCCATGATATACACCGTTCTCACTCAACGAAGACTATGAACTTAGGGCAATTTAATCAACTACCCAGTGAAGAACAATGGGTATGAATCTAAGAGATTAAGAGCAACTTGTATTTATTCTTAGGTGATTCGTCGAAAACCTAGATATTTACTGATAAACTTATACTACTGTTCAGTAGCTAAAATACTTAGAATAAATTTCTGACTATCTTTTGTATCAATTAATTGCAAAGAATATCAGTGTTTAATATCTTACACACCTATGTTCAAAGTTTATAATGTAACAACTACTATAAAATTAAGTAATGAATAATGCTCATTTAACTGTAAGCAATGTGACTTGTTAAGTTTCGGTAAAATGCTTTCATGTGATCCCAACCTTAGTGACTTCTGTAATCTTATGCAGAAACTATTGGCTTCACGATAAAGTTGCTAGTATGATATTTCAAGGGTTACCGTTAAGTATTTGGATGCTGTTAGTATGGATAAACTTCAGTAAAGTATGTTTTCCTCATTTGGCTCGATATATAAAATTGCAGTTTCTGGTTTTTGGATGGGCAATGAAGAAACTTCTTGGAAATTATAAGCTTACTATTTACAGAATATCGATATTAATCAACCACATTTACCGATTATATATAGCTAATGTTCTATGGCTGGAGCAAACTATAGCTTTTCATGTTATTCTTATGACTGTCAGATTATCAAGTAATTTTTTATTAAAATAGACCTAAGACGTAATTGAGATGTTAAGTTAGTTACGCGAAGAATGCAAAAAGAATTCATATAATGAAGTTTAAGTGAAGCCTCTCTTAACGGAAAAAACTCCTCATTGAAAGGTTATTCATTAAACAAATTATTAAACTAATTTATAATTATCTTTTAAAAGTTGTTTCTTTCCAAATTCATCCGTTCATACTGTTGAACGACCGTTCAGTGCTTCCAGGTTTTCAATGATAGTCTAACATTTATCGATTCATGATCTCAATCAAAGAATTAACAATCTCCACAACCCCACACTGATAAGTTAATTAATTCATTAAATTTAAGTTTCACTAGTAAAAATTCAAAAACCATATAAACTAATTCACCGAGAACAATATTACACATAATATGATGCTAAGAGAATTTCAAGTTCATATGGCTCTCTCTTGATTGACTTTCTATAAGATAGCCCGAAAGATATATTCGACATATGCAGTACGTCCAAGTAATTACTTTCATACATACAGCTTTATTAGTATATATCAGGAAATCGAGAATATAATAAACGTAGAAAACCATACGGTACCATCGATTCAAATGAAAAATTTGTTTTCCGCTGGAATGAGAGATGACCAAATATTTTTTCACTAACGTTAAATCACAATGTACTTCATTTTATTTTTCAATTAGAGAATCCCTTAACATACAATTTTATTACTAGTTATCTCACTAATAAATAGGATTAATGAAATCAGGGTTATAAGTTCTTGAAGGTTCATCAGACGACTTCCCTCTCTAATAGTTTATAAAAATGACCTGAAAAATGACATTCAGTGTCCGAATTGTCTTGCGATAATAACCAAAATGTTTTAGGGTATAAGCCTGCTCAATGTATTATAGTATTTGTATTTACATGCCGATCAATACAGTCGAAGAAAATCAGCTGAGGATTAATTGAATTCACTGATTTCATAATAATTGTTTAACTTTAGAAAAAGATTACCTTCCTAACACTACTCTTATCAAGTAAGTCACATATGGTATTCAACTAGAAACAACTTGTAAGTTAGAATTTATTTATTGACTAATGAAATTGTTTAAAGGAGTTCATTATTTAAACGGTGTAAAGAATAGAGGTAAACTATGAGAAGTAAATTTCATTATCTGATCAACTCCGTCTTCTCATTGTTCTCTCGAAATTCATAAAGGGGACTAATTGCTTTAAATTTCATTATATTAATTTTAGATTGCCAAAACTATAAGCGTTTAAATAATAAATCTTACCTAACTAAACAATAAAATTAAAAGTGAAATAAATTGTTAAATCATTTACAGTGAACTTATTCAGAGCCCCTTTACATGCACCTACATTAATTTATCATCTTTGGTATACATTCAAGCAAAACCATTCTAATTATAGCATAAAGAAATAATATGCTATTTTTCATA